TTTGGGGTAAGCTTGTTATTCTACCCATATGTGTGATGCACAGAGGCCACGACGAAGAAGAGCAGGTTGCTTACCTGTATCTGATGTTCTTTGAGTGGCCATCTGTGCAGTCACACAACCCACCCTCCGACCCCGCTTGGTGTCATGGGTGGTCCGACTATTTCTTTCGATACTGTGATCTCTTTGCTATGTGTCGTACCACTACTGAATTTGGCTATCTTGTCATACTGACAAACCTTATTATAAGAACAAACGTCGGTCTTTCAAAGACTGGAAAATGGCGGACACTCCGCTCCTTATATAATGCTGGGGGGAGGGGGAGCGGAGTTCCCGCCAAAAACCGTTAGCTGTCAATCTTCCGGCCAAAGGCACTGCGCAGGCGCAGAACCCATATGTGTGACTGCACAGGTGGCCACTCGAAGAACATCAGTTACAGGTAAGCAACTTGCACTTACCCACGGTGTTATTGTACATTGAGTAATTATAATTATTATTATTTTAATGAACAGCCATTCCTTTTAGCACTATTTAGTCTGCTTTGCTATATCCTTCATCTGCATAAAAATCTCGAGGCATTACATTTTCTCTCTTTTTATAGCTGGGAATCAAGGCAAAAATACACCCCAAGGTAAGCCACCATCAGCCCTACAGTGGGATAGGGAAAAATAAAACAATAGGTTTTATTAAATTTTAGCAGCGATTGTACTTGTGTGATGCTTAGCTGTGTTCAGGACAGTCGCAAGGTCCCCGGGCTGTGCCTGCCGCTCATTGTAATGTGCACCGTCAGACTATCCTTTGATTAAATAAACCCTTGTTTAATTAAATTGGCCTAAATTCACATAGGAGGCACAATATGTACCGCCAGTAACTCTTTGTTGTAGGATAATGAGTGTATGTGCTCCAGTAGATGAAATCTTAGAAGCGACCTTCTCGACCCACCAAGCCTTTGTATATTAAAAATTAATTCAAAATTGATTGATTGATTGAAAGCTTTTCTATACCGTCCTTCACTAAGTCCCTGGAAAGTAATACAATAAAGATACAACATCAACCATCATTTGATAACAAATAAAACCCATCTTTAAAACAACGTCAACACTTAAAATATTGGGCAAATAAAAACGTTTATAGTTAACTAGGACATTAATGTGGCTGCTTAAGTATCACCTCCCCAAAAGAGGAAAACTATTTTCGGAAATAGGACTAAGGAGGTTTGCATTAAATGTGTGCATGCAACTTTAGAAGTAATTGGTCAAATGCAATTTAAAAACAGCCTTAATGCCTCTCACTATAGTAGGGAAAACTGTGACCAGGTAACCCACACACCTGCCTGTTCTGTCTGCTGTCCAGGTGCTCACTCTTCATGGGCGACCTCAAAGACCCTCCTTGCCTTCCTTACTGTTCTTGAGAAACGTGTCTAGGGCCGTAGAGCCTTCAAACAGAGAACCGTCTTCAGTTGGGTAAGACGCATGTTACAGGGCAACTTTTCCATCTAACTGATTAGAACGGCTAGTTTAGTTAATCAACTAAATGATGCAGCCCTGTTAGCTGTTGTTTAAATAGCACATCAATTGAAGATGATTTATAGTGCAGTACAAGCAAATGGCAGTTCTCTGCCTCAAAGAACTTACCATCTGACTTGACATATTTTTTTAAGTGTTTGGTTTTAAGTATATAGCATATTACTAGTCATATTATGCGCATGCAGTAATTGCTAAATGTATACATTTATGCTATGTTGTCCATATTACTGCAGGATCTTGAATTGGCTGCTTTTTTAAAATGACCTCCAAGAACAATAGCAACATCACAGTCAAATATTGTTTTAAACTCCAAAGCAACAGAAACATGAAAGAAGAAAAACAACTGGATAAAGCCAATTGCCACCTTCTAGATAGCATAGCAGGAAGTGGCAATGTATTTCTGGTCTTATTTAATTAGATGTATTTTTCTGTGGCTTTGCAAAGGTCTAGAGACTGAGAATTTGTTGTGGGGGAAGTTGATCAGTCTCTGCTTGCTAGACGTAGCAATTCCTCAAATGACAGGAGGCGTTGAGGCAAGTGCTGGTAACCTGGGAGCATTCGCAGCTGCAGCAACAATCAGCACAGTTTTGGCCTTTGTGCTCACTGCAAAACCTAGTTTGCTTGTGATAACATGCTTGCTCTTGAGCTTGCAACAGTCTTGAACGAGGCTTAGAGAGAGACTGCGTTCCCAGGGCATGTGTGCATTGGCAGGTTGTGTGCACCTGGATTGTTTCCTGCAGAGTGGTTTGTTCCTAGGTGAGGGGCCACTTCTGGCAGCCTGGGATGGGGCAGCCCATTTCATACCCAGGGAAATGCACGGGGGGACTTTTTAAAGGGGTGATGATCCAGGGACAATCCCTCCAATGTGTGGGCTGTTTGAAGAGGCTGTCACGAGTTGTCAAATTGAAGATTATTTTGCACAAACTTTGGGAAAAAAATTAAAGAGTAAAAAAGCCGCAGCAAATACAAGAGGTTCACAACTGCAGTGGCAGGAGGGCAGACAAGTTGGGAAACCATGGCAGACGGAGTGTGCAAACAAGCTACGGTAAGCTTGATCATCTGATGGATGCACCATCGTTTGTTTGTACAACAGCCACCCCACTGTGGCTTATTACCAGGATAGGCCATTGTGACATGCAAATGCCCAGAGAAAGACTGAGAGAGAGAGACAGAGAGAAGCAGAGAGAGACAGAGAGTATTGCCTAAGAAACTTTAAACCTCTTTCAGCCCAAAGGCTAAATTCCATTTCAGAGAAACTCTCATTCCGCATTCTAGTAATGGGTGGGTCCGAAAGCAAAGGTGATAGGAGTAAAGGTAGGAAGAGCTAGTCCCAAGGGAAGGTGGAGCACATGCTTTGTTGTTCGTTGGCATCTCTGGAGAAACACCTGCCTGAAACCCAAGGGAGTTGCTCCCCATCAGTGTCAGAAAAACCGGCCTAGATGATTCTGACTTAGTATAAGTCTGCTTCTTATGTTGTCCTGTATCATGGTATTTTTGTCTTAATTTCTTACAGCCAGTAATTAAGACTTAGGAGGGACATTCTAGCATTTTAGAATCGGTGCAGTTGTGGGGGACGGGACGGGACTGAGCCCCGGCACTGAGGTTTCTCACTGCTTCCCAAAGCCCATGGTACAGTCCTACAGCTGAGCTTAGACTTAGACCAGGGCCTCCTGTTGCCTGAGGAAATTTGCCACACTGCTTCCTGTGAGCTGGCCCATGGCTAAATCCCAGGCTTTGATTTGGGGCCCTGTGAGCCCATGCTCTGTATGCTCTGTAGGAGATGGTCTAGGAAGCCTGTAAGTGAATAGAGAGCATTTCTGGGGCTCTTGACTTGCAGTGTCTGGTTCTGGGCTCGTTTCCTTGTTAAGGTGTTTGCAGCGAGCGTGGAGGAACTTGCCTGCCATGTTCAGCAGCAGACTTGAGATCTGTGACAGGAAGGTGGATGTTGCTCATGCGTGTGACCCAGCCACCGGCTCACGTACCGCCTTCCAGTTCCCCTTCCGTGCAGGCCGTGTGTCACAGACGCAAAGCCCTGGAGCTGCTGTACCTCAGTTTGGGGCATTGTAGAGGTAGGTCCACGGTGGAATGTATTTATGTGATAGCTCTGGCGGTCTACACCTTCAGTTATGGACTGATAATCAGGATGGGGTTCCAGTGTGTCTGGGGCTGGGTCTAGACTTCACGGCTGCATTTCTACCATTTCTGCAAAGCTAGGCAGAATTTTCTGCATGAGGATTTTTTTTTACTTCCTCTGATCTGTTGGGAAATGCCACCAACCCTGCAGAATATTTGTGAAAATCTCCCCGTGACCCTCCCTGCAAACAGAGTGGAGAATTTGAGGTGTAGTCCTGGATCCAGTCTTGATACTGACCTGGTTCACACAATCATTGTGTCTTAAACAAGCCCAAAGCATGCTAGGCCCCATTTACCTAATTACTTGCCATTGTTTGTCATGTCATCTAAACTCAGGCAACGTGGCTTGTTTGAGGGGGGAAACAACTCTTGAAGAACCCAGCAATTTGAGAATTGCTTCTCCCTCCAACAAGCCATGGTGATCAGTGAAATGGGTCCTCCTTTGCTGGTTTAATATTCTTGAAGGAAGCAACAGACAACGCCCCACCCTTTCTGGTTCTCATTTCCTAGACCACAGCTTCCTTCACTCACCAGTAAGAACTCACCATAGAGTTTGATTTGGTAATAAATGAGTTGCAATTTAGCAGGAACAAATTTGCTGTCGTTGCTCCATTAGGATAGAAAATAGGAGGCCAATTTCTGCTCCATTTTGGGGGTCCTTTAGGCTCAGTGAGAGGGTGATGGAGTATTCTAGGGTGCTGTTTTTACTAGGTTTCTTTTGAGACGGTTCCTTTCATTGTATTTTTAGCATTGTCCTCCTGTTGGCAAATCAGGGTCACTTCTGATGCATAACTGTCAGCTAACTTGTTCACTCACGGAGGTTTTGAAATGCAAGCCCTGTAAAGCATGAGGGGGCAGCTTGTTGAGCCAGGCTGTTGCAACCTTGGCGCCCCGCAAAGGGACGTGTGATTTCTGAGATGCTTTCCCTGTGGTTTCTGGCTTCCTGGCTCTGAAAACACCACATTGCACACATCAGTGCAAGAGCCTGCTGTGACCAAGTGTCTTCCCGATTTCTGTGCTGTAATTGGCAGGCGTGCATTCAGATGATTAATCAGCATTTCTGTGGCTCAGAGGGCGAGCCCAGAATGCTTTGCTTCCCGGGGCGAAAGACAAAATGGTGGCCATCCTCCATGCTGTCTGGGTGGCCAGCTGAATCTTCCTCCAGCACTGGCAACGTGATAGCAGAGCAGCCGGGACGGACCTGAGGACAGTGGGCCAATTCAGCCCAGACAAAGGAGCTCAGCTCAGAAGGAGCCACCCCCAGTCCCCTTGCTTGCCGCTGGAGGCCTTTGCGAATCCGCATCCTTCGTCAGGCCTGAGGGGATCCTCTCTCTTGCTTTTCAGACCTACAGTGTGCGGTGGTCACCTTCCCTCTGCTGGTGGAGCTGGCGCTGGCTTGAGCTACGATGCTGGTGAACGTGAATCTGACTGGCCCGGCGCCCTGGGGCTTCCGAATAACAGGGGGAAGGGACTTCAGAAAGCCCATCACTGTATCTAAGGTAAGCAGTCGTGTCTTCTTGTCCTTCTTCTGGGGCAGGAGCGTGTCCAAGTGATGTATTGCTGGCAGGCTGAACGCCCTGTTGCAGCTCAGTTCAGCTTCTGGCAGGAATGTGGAACTTCCTTCGGCCCGAGGGAGACAGATTGAGGGTGCCTGTTCTACTGATGGGTGGGGCCGAAGGCATAAGGGGCAGGACCAGAAATCCCAAAATATATCAGCATATCCTTGCTTACAGTTCTTGCTGCCAGTAATTAAGACTTAAAAGAGGCATTTCAGCAACCAAGACCACCAAGTGATCCGTGGTGGGAGGAAAGGGATCTGTGAGTTAGGGCTCAGAAAAACCCTGCAGAAATTAGCATATGCTAATTTACATATGCTCTGAAGTAAGTGTGTGTGTGTGTGTGTGTGTCTGTCTGTCTGTCTTTGAAGGGCCCTGTAGAACCGCCCCATTGCTAAAAAGAGATGTACAGACAAGAGAGAGGGAGAACATTTGATTTGGGGGAGGGAATCAGGCAGAAAAATTCGCATGGAAAATGAACCACATGGGGACAAAATGCCAGCTAATACAGGGCAATCAGAGGCCACAGAGATTCTCAGAGCCCCTGCACCTTTTTTTCAGCAAGGTGGTATGGAATGTGCTCCCCAGAGAGGTTTGCCTGGTGCCGACACTATTCTTTTCGGCACCAGGCTAAAATCTTTGTACTTTCCCATTATTTTAATGTTTGATTAGGTTCTAATGTGGGTTTCATTTTATTGGAATTATTTGAATGCCGTGTTTCATTTCATTTTATGCCGCTTTTATTGTAATACATCCCAAGATGCTAGTAGTTGGACGGTATATAAAAAAGCCTTAAGTAAATAAACAAGGTGCTGGGGCAGATGGCATCCCAGATATTTGGGGCTGGAAGTGAAAGAGTCAAGGTTCCAGCCCTAGTCGGCATCTCCTAACACTATCTTTGTAAGGAGATGGGATTATTCCAATCTCCCCAATATATTTCTGCCAAGGCCCTTTCCCCGACTTTCGTTTTCATGGTGTCCTTTCGCAGCTGTTAGGAATCAGCATCATCCACTGCACCACAAACAGGGACGGCAAATTAACTGGAGTAGCTATCCCTCTGGTCCCGGACTGCAGCTGAGAAAGAGCGTGTGTGAGATCTCTCAAGACTGGGCTGGAGATCTTGGTGCACCAGGGTGCTGGCCTGGATTGCAGCCCGGGAGGTGCAGCCAGCTTTCTAACAGGGCAGCGCTGGCTATTCCCAGATGAATTCTGTTTTGATGAATGCCTTGCTGGGAGCTGTCCGTGGAATTTCCTTCGGAGAGGTGGGAGAGAAGGACTTGGTTGACGTGGCTGTTCCTGTACTGAATGCCTGTGGAACTTTGCAGGACATCCTGGAATGCTGGGCAGCTTTTGCAGGGGCTTTGCCTACTCTCGGGGAGGAGGTGAAAAGGAAGCCGCCCCTTTCTCTGAGTGGGCACAGAGCCAAGCATCTGCCCTGCAGTCTGACGAGCAGAACAGATCCTGTTTATCACATTTTCCAGAATCCCACTCCCTGGGAACGGACTTCCAGTTCCCAGAGTGCGGGTGGGCACACTGCAGCGGTTCAGTATACCTTCCCACTGCCCTCTCCAGAGCAGAGTGAGGGAATTCCCCTGCTTTACAGCCCCCTTCAGAAGGAAAGGTGCAGCAAGACGTGTTGTGCCCATGCAGCCTGCCCAGCAGAATTGAGAGCTGTGAATCGCCCATCCTTTCGCTGTCTCCATGTCACAGACAGGTCACAAATCCTGCCGGGATCTCATGGCGCAACTTTGCCAAAACAGGGCTGCAGTCTAGAGAGCACCTGGATGTGGGGACCTGGCAGGAGCAGCCTTGAGCTCCATGAAAAGGGGGCAGAATAGAACAGTCATTTTGGGAGAGTCACCTCTGGCTGCACGTTTGTGCTGGAGATGCCAGGGTGGTGCTCCCCCAGTTAATGGACCAGGAGCTCCCTGTGTGCTTGGAGGCGTGCTTGGGCACCTCACAGGGCCCGACTTACGCCTGCAGGGTTCCACTAGCAAAACCCCCCGGAGTTGCTCGCCTTTTTCACCAGTGCAACCCCTTGTTCACCTGCCTTGCACTTCCCAACAACAGAGCTGGTGAGAGGCAGGTGCAGCCGCTCATTCCCAGCCTCTTTGCATGTTGGGGAAGCAGGGCGAGGCCTTGACAGCTGGGGACAATAGTGGTGTGGAGGCAGGCCCATTAAGGGAGGGGGGCCATTGGCACTGTCATAAAACCCTAAAAAACCTGGAGCCAGCACTGTTCCCTGCCATCAGCCATGCTGGTTGGAGCTGGCGGGAACTGAAGTCCAAAGCACCTGGAGGGCTCAGGGTGGCGGGGAGGCTGTGCTAGAGACTTCTTGACCTGATTTCGACTGCCTGAGATGTTTTCAAAGATGGCTGCTATCCTGAAATGACACGACCCTGTTTGTATCGCCGGAAGTTTTTGCCCGGTTCAGCCATGCCTGTTGCCCAGCGGCCTCAATCACTGTTTATTTGTAGAGGGCTCTGCATTCCGTCCTCAGCTCTGCATGAAAGGAATTTACTTTTGCACCCAGGATTCTTAGTATGAATTGATCAAGGCAAGTCACCCCCCGAGATTGAGATGGATATTGAAGCCGGTGCGGTCTAGTGGTTGGAGTAATGAGCTGGGACTCGGAAGATCTGGGGTTTAATCCCCACTCAGCCACTGACTCATAGCCTAGCCTACCTCAGGATTGTTGTGAGGATCAAGTGGAATGGAAGAGAACCTTGTGACCTGCCTTGGGTGCCTTGCAAGCGGAAGAAAGGTGGGGTATAAATGCAATGTAATGACAGTGACAGTAGTTAGGGGCCCTTTCCTCAAGTCTTTCACTTTAGCTTCTCCTTTGCATTTGTCAATAATTCTGATGCTGACATGAGCAAAAGCCGCCTTGTTCCAGGCTAGTTGACCTGGTAAACAAGCTTCCCCCTTGCGACTCGCAGCTGGTCTCTTTGGAACCATGTTAAGGAACTGAGCAAGAGCACGTTAACCCTAGGGATATGGAGCTTCGTTTGCCTCCTGGGGCTACCAGGTGAGCCACTTTTTTTTGGCAGCAGAGTTTTTAGTTCGTGCAATTATTGATGAAATATTTATTGCCACCTTTTGTGGAGGAGAAAGTCATAAATGCAGAAGAACTCAGTGCAAGATACTTGCTCACTCACATTGGCTTCCCTAGTAAATTTCTGTTCACATAAAAAACAAATTCACTGAATTGCAGGTTTTGCAAGATGGTTGCTTTTGGTCTTTTTGTTAGTCTTTCAGCATATTTTAATGCCTTAAATATCCAGATGCTCCTAGGATACAGTGCAAAATATTCAGCATTAGTATATATGTAGAAGATAAATTGTAGCACTATCTCATAGTGGAAAGGTGGGCTATTAGTTTAATATATAAATAAAAAGTAAATATTTAACAAAAACCAGAGTTGATGTACGCAGGTTAAAAGATTGCAAGGCATCTAGTTAATGCAATGGTTTATCACAACAAGCCAAGATAGCTCAAAGCTGTTGTGTCCTTTCTCCTTAATTTTATTTACTGTTTATTCTCTTGGTATTGTTTGATTTATGCTTTGCCATTCCACCAAAAACTGATGCTAACAGTAATACAACCAAGATTAAATAAACCTAATTAAAACAACCATAAAACAAATTGAATAGAAGCAGAATCAAGTCCAACCATTATAAAATAAAAATAGAACCCAGCTCATTTGAATCCACTACCGACACCCTCTCCTATGGAAAATTCCTGCTTGAATAAAAAGATGTTTGCCTTATGAACAGAGAGAGCCCAAGGCTGGGAGCAGCCCGTGAGTTGTTCCCACTTCACATCCTCACTCCACTAGGTGTGCCTCTGGCAGTAGCAGGAAGTCTTCCCAGGTAGGTCCTGAAACCTGGGCAACCTTGCAGGAAGCCCGATTCCAAGCCATATATGGCTTTCTAGGCAGAACCAGCTTTTTAAATTGTGTCTGGGAGCAAACCAAGAAGAGGCGAAGCTGCTACAGCAGGGGAGACACGTGCCCAGTCAAGATTCTGGCCGCAGCAGTGTGGACCAGCTGAAGCTTCTGGGCAGTTGGCAAAGATCATAGCCCACAGCTTGTGTCATCATAGCCAGCCACTGTAAATATTCCCATTCTGCAGTTTTTTCGATTTTGCAAATTAAATCCATCATTAAGGGGTGCCATTGGTATGTATCACTGAGCTATCAAAATAACTGTGGCTGCTAAAATATTTCATATAAAGAATGTGGTGTTCCAGTTGTTTTCATAACTTATTAGTGAATTTCAACACTGTACATTGGGACTGAAGGTGACCTGAGAAATTATCTAGCTAAACAAAATTGTTCACTGGTTGCACATTTTAGGGCATATTATTTTTTAAAAAAGATTTAAGCCATGTTTTAAGTGTCCATAAAGATTTGCACCAGGGTAGCATAGCAAAGGTTTTTCTAAATTCTGGTAACTTTCCCCCCTCCCTCATCTGCAGTGGGTCTAGATAAAACATACTGGTTTTCTCATTCCTTTTGTACTTGGCTCTCCGGGGCCATCATGGCTGTAACTTGCTTATTTCCAAGGTGTTATGGTATAAATGCGCAGTGGGAGGGTTGCTGCCCTCTTCACTTGATGAATGCGTGTGGGGAAGCTCATATCAAGCTCCTAAAAATATTAGTCTTTGATACAAAGGGAATCTTTGTTTTACCAGCTTCAACTCAGTTACTCTTCCAGAATGTTTTCAGTCAAGCTTAATTCACTTTTTCTGTTAAGCATAACAGTGCAAATCCACTTTTAATCTTTGATATGGCTGGGTCCATGAATGCTTAATAGGGGTTAATTTAGCCCATATTACTAATTAATCCTGAGAAATCCTTTGTGCAGATGCTTGTTTGGATCCTGGGGCTGATGCCAGTAGCGGCAAGCGGTATGCAGCATACCCTTCCCAAGCGTGCTTTGTGTAGTTGGGAAAAAAGGACCGTTCTTTTTCAGCACTCCTACTTCACCTGTTTTTCTCTCTCTCCTAATGCACACAGGTGACAGAGTATAGCAAAGCAGCCCTTGGCGACCTCCAACTCGGTGACATCATCGTCTCCATCAATGGAGAAAGCACTTCTGAGATGCTCAATGTGGAGGCGCAAAACAAGATTAAGCAGAGCTATGGGCAGCTGCAGTTGCAGGTGGACAGGTGAGGCTACCTGTGGCCACGTCTCCATCAACTCTGGGCAATGGCTCTGAGTCTCCCAATCCCAAGACAAACAGTTCATATTTGGGGGCCCATTTCTTTTCAGTGGCTTTAGCCAGGGCATTTTTGGAAGTAAAATAAAGCCATAAGTTAATAGAAACTAGTTAGAGAAGTGGCAAACTGGAATGAGCACACATGGGGGGAAATATTCCTACAGCTTTGTGCATCTTTCCTGAATTGACTTTTTACATTTCCATTTTCCCTTCCCTGAGGACAACAAGCCGTCTCTAACCTTAAATCTCTGTTCTTTTGAGAATTCTGGCAGTTGCTCTTTTGACTATAGTGTGTGTGTGTGCAGGGAGGGGTGGGGGGGAGTTTACTGTACTGACATTTTAGAAATGCTGGGCTAGCGAGTTTCATGCTACAGGGGTACGGACAATGGAGTAGAACAGAAGTCCTTCAGCACTTGGTTTCGTTCATGAGTCTGGGACTGTAGTGGGTAAGATCTCCTCCCTTCTTGCTGGTGGGTGGCTAGGTTGACGTTCCCTGCCTCCAAGCCTTTAGTGCCTTCTAATCCCAGCAAATGGTTCTTGTCAAGGTCCCGATCCATGGCTGCTCAGCAAAGTGCCATCAATGTTCCTATGTCCAAAGCGGGTGGTTTTACTAATAAAGAGGAACTCATTGAAGAAAAAGGCCATGCGACAGGGAAAGCTCTGGCCCTTGTTTACAGTAAACTCAGAGTATGAAAGCTTCAAATAAGTATTTGTGAAGGGCCAATTTGGATAATTTCAGGTTGGAAAGTACAACGCTGGATGATTTACAGTACGGTGGAACAGCATCCATTTAATGGCTCTCTTTCCATTCCAAATTAGATGTGAAGAAAACTCGGGGAAACCAGAAGTGGATCCTCGAATGTAACGGTGCTCACTTTTGGTACCAGAAACAAATTCCTGAGCTGAACATGGATGCCCAAGGCACCATTCAGTTCTTCAGTTCTGAGTAACTCTCTCTCCTGCACCTGAAACCACCTGGATTTGATTCACAGAAATTGGGCTTGGATGAGAGGCTTTCCTTGGAGAGGTTGCGCCAAGAGTATCCAAGCTCTGAGGGAAGTGGCAGGTTGGGGCAGGGGAGAGAGCAGCCTGCAATTTGCGAAGTGTCCTGAGGTACCAGTCCACCCACCCTGCCTTTGTGGGAGGGCTTGGGAGTCCTCACCCCTTCCATGACTTTTCTTCGCAGTTAAAAATATTCCTATTCTTACTTCCTAATACGAAGGCCAGGCGGTGCAAAGGCACTGGATAGCCTGACAAACCCTTTAAACAACAGTCTAACACTTATATCAATGTTATATGCATTCACAGTTTTGCTGTCTCATCCGTTCAGACTTTTGCTGAGTTTACACCTCCCCGCAGGATGTACTCTTAAGCTCCCAAACTCCCCGATCCCAGAAATGGTTCTGCGGATGGGTTTGCCAGACGACAGGACAGCAAAGATGAGAAGTGGATGAAATCAAAACTGCCTCTTTGGCTGTGCTCTAGATGGTGCAGAAAGAATGGCCAAAATACCTGACCTTGGGGCGGGTGAATGCAGTAGGGTGTGAACTCAGGGCTTAGGGCCAAGGATTCTGCATGGAGGCAAAGCACCTCGGCTTGTGGGCTAGGAAGGTGGAGTGAGGGGTGGGGATTTGCTTGCCAGCTTGGCTGTGCTGTCTCTTCCGCCGTGTTCAGGAGCTGCTTGGTGACACTGGCGGCTTGGAAAGTGGAGCGTGGCTAAGCCGGGGTGGGTTAGTTGGGAAGGGAAGCAGCTCTGGCAATTGTTTTCCTGCTGTCCAGGTCTGACGGGTTCTAAGCGCTGGAGGCTCTTTTGTGATGGGCGGGGAGGAGGAAGGGGGTGGGCAGTATTTGATTGCACCTTTCATGCCAAAATGAACTTGGACACTGCAGCTTCATGTGCTGTGCAGATGAGGGAGGGCTTGCGTGCCCTGGTCCAGACAAAGCTGCCCCGGGTCTGTTTTATGTGTACATGTACACGTGTGCTCACACATTCTGTCCCAAGGAAGCCTGGACACTGTTTCAGAGCAGCAGCATGACTCTGTTTCACTTGCTCAGCTTTTGTTTCTGACAGTTCAGAGGCTTTTTGAAGAATCAGGACAGTTTGTAGTAAACACAGGCTTGGCCGATGTCAACCAAAGAGAAGAGGCTTTGGAGGTGAGCAGAAGAGAAACAGGAAAGAACAGGAAGTTATCCTGGGTAGGATGGAAAAATCCGAAACCCAGGTGGCTGGAAGATTGGCATGAGACTGAGAGACTTTGGTGCCAGGATTCTGTATGGTTCCAGTCTTCCTTTGTTCACCATGAGGACTAGGATAAGAACGCACACCTTCCCATTGTAGTGATGGTGTTGTGGGGGGTGTCCCTGCCACCCAAAGGGCAGGAGGAAAGTATCCTAAAAACCTGACTTGTTTCTGTAGGTGTATATTTTAAGTAGTCATGACTTAGGATTCAGGGTGCATTCAAAAGATAAATCAGGACACCAGCTAGCAGCTAGGGCTTCGCTTTTCGAGCCCCGTAGCCTACCAGACACAGCATTACAAATCTTTGGTGGAGAAAACGGAATGAACATATTCCTCAGAGATGAGCGAGACAAATGCTGCGCACACCAGGATGGGGTGTGTCTTTCTGGAAAGCTGTTGGGCAAGGCTGAAACCAGAGGCAAATGTATGTTGTATAACCTCACCCCACTGGCATTCCGGTTACTCATCGTGAGCATCCCTTTCAAACCTTAAAAGTGGCAACTGATCCCCTTTTAGAGGAAGCCCTTTTGAAAAGCCAAGCGCTGCACAAAGATACTCTTCCTTAACAAAGGGACTTGTTGATGAGGGGAAAACTGGAAGAAACCTGCTCGAAAAAAGTCGATGCACCACCAGCTGGGCCCACTGCTGGAATTATCCTGGTGCTGTTGCACAAGCTCAACTGAGCCTGCCCTTAATCCCACATGAGCCTTCATGTGACTTCAAAGCCGGCGAGCTGTGAAGTATCCTCTGGGGGCACTGCGGACGGACGGGCTGGGGAAGTAGGTAGCAATCTCTCTCTCTGCCTTCAGTGACTCAGACTTCGTGACGGGTGAAACCTGTACTTGTCTGGCCAGGGGCTGGTCAGGGAGTGGACTTTTGCATTGTGTAAATCTGACGCGAGCAAGCGCAGGCCACAGTCCGGGGTGTGGTTTTCTGTTGGCATGACTCAGGGATGCTCTTTCACCACCCTGCGCTGGCTGACACTGGAGCTTGGCTTGCTGCCTCGGGGGCAGTGCAGTTCAGTCTGGATCATGTCCCCCGAGGGAGTCCTGGGGAAAACCCTTGCTCGGGTTCCGCTCCTGCTGCTGCTTTTTGGGAGGACACCTGCTGCGAGAGCCTCGCGTATCGCTTCACTGCCACGTGTGCGTGCCCTGTCTTGTACGCACACGGTGAGGAGCAGCGTGGCTGGGTGTGGCCGCCTGCATGCATGAACTGCCTGGTCCTGGGACTCTCTGTCCTGGCTTTTGGCCTCGGGCTTGGCCTGGCTACTCGCTGCAGTGTCCTTTCCTCGATTCGTTTGCATTTGACGTGCGACAGATGCGGGACGAGAGCTGAAAAGTCCTAATGGCATCTTGGCGCTGACCCAAACCAACAAGCTGAACTGGAGCTGCGCAGGAGGCAACATTCCTCTCATTCCGGGGCCTTCGGCTCATCTTCTTTCCCTTCTCCACCCTTCCCTGAACACGCTGCTTCTCTTGAGCTCCCACCCCAGAGCTGTCCTGGGGCGTTTGGCGTTAGCTCAGTGCTGGCTGTCTTTGTGGCTCTTTCCCCTGTAGGCAAATGTGCAGAACTCTCCATGCAAGAAACCTCAGCTGGAATTCAAGGTGCTGGTTTTTTCCTAGTTAGGTTGGTTAGCGAGCATAGCTTCATCCTCCTATTCAACTGTGAGGCTTTTCCCCTCTGAATTTCTAGGCAATAGTTGGATACTCTAACAAAAGGCCCTTCCTTCCCTTCAGGATATCTGCCAGCTGTTTTTTTTTTTTTTTAGCTGGATTTTTCCTGCATGCTTTTGAGGTCCCCTTCACCTCTAGCAGACTCTCTTTTCTTGCACAATTGTGCAGGATATCCATACAAGGGACTGATGCTTTTGTGATAGGAGTGACACTTAGCATTTACATAATGCTTTAGACAACTGTCCAGAACTCGTGAGAATTCTGTAAGGCGGGACAATGCTGTCGTTCCCCCCCCACCCCACTTTTCCAGGTGTGGATGGAGAGCAGTGACTGAGAAAACATCAACTTGCCCAAGACAACCTACTGCATTTGTGGCTGGGGTCAAGTTTGAACCCAGGATTTCTTGTCTTGCATTCCTAACCACTATTCTACACCAGCTTTCAGACTTGTTCTTCAAATAACAAACTGTGCATCAGGAGGGGGAGTTTATTTTTCTTTTAAGGCTTATGTTCTCTCCCTTTCTGAGAAGTCACAACATGATTCTGTGGTTCTTGGTTTGATGCCATTTATGGTCATGGCGGATTTGGGACCTACCTGTCCCCTTCATTCCTTCCCCCAGCAAGTTCTCAACTTGATTTGCAAAGCTTTTTGACAAGGGCTTGGCACACACTTTCTGGAACTCCCGCCTGTAGTATATTTAAGTGTGATTAGACTTCAATCCCTCCATCTCTTTCAGCCAGACTACATGCTGCTCTCTTTGAGCAGCTGAAAGTTGTACCTAGCTGCAAAGGGGTTTTTATTTATTTAATGTTTAATTTAAAACATTTATATGCCACCTATTTTGCCCATGGCTTCTCTTTTGGGGGAAACTCTCGCTGTATGATGTTCAACGCTCTCCTCCCAAGGAGTGCCAGTCCCAGCCCGAATCAAGGCCACGTGTCCTTATAGCAGAATTTAAAGAAGACAAGCCCTGGCTTTGTGCTTTGTGGTTAACCTTCCTTGCAGTTTTGGTTCCTCTTTGCGTGGCCGCTGGGCTTAAAATACTTCCACCTTCTACTGCATGGTGTGAGGCTGTAGGGGTCTGGGAGCAGGGCTCTGTTCAGTTTTGTTTCCATGTTATGTACAAGCTATCACAGAAACACAAAAACAAAAAAGAGCAGTGCATAAAATCTAGGCCTTACCATCGGCAAAAGGTAGGTTCCTCAAAACTACTTCTGGTTTACAGCATCTGCGAGAGCAGTCCAGAAGGGAAGCTATGTGATGTCACTGTGGAACACAGAAGGCACCAGCTAGAATATAAATAAGAGGAAGTAAATAAATAGACCTGTAATCTAAACTTGCATGTAGGCCTGGCCTTTAGGTTCACCCGGGTGCTTTCTTGAGAGCAAGGTTGGGGTGCTCTTTCCAGGCAGAAGTGGCAGCCACTTGAAGAAAGTTGGATATACCCAGGATTTTAGTGTATGAGTGTAATTGGCTAGCTGCCTGCCCCCCATCCCAGACAAAGCATAGCAAGAAAGACAAGAATTCACATGCTTTCTACTTTTGTGTGAAAAATGTGGTTCAGGGAATTGTTTGCTTAGTTCTTAAAGAGACTAAACATTTAACAATACCCTGGGACTGTGTAGGGTTAGCAGGAAGCACTTTTGGGGTAGATGGGTCTTATGTATATATTTAGTTTTTTATCCTGCCCCATTAGCCATGAGGCTCCATGTGTCTCACGTAAAAAATAAAAAAGCAAATATACATATTGTTACACCTTTGTAATCAGGGGAGATCTTACTTAGGTTCCACAAGGGTGCATCAAGGATTAAATTATATTTTGAATAAGCTCATTGAAATCAATGGGACACATTGACCATTACCAGTACAAGTCTTGATGCACATGTTGAGATAGAACAACTCCAAGTATGACTAATTGTCAGGTTTGTTTTGGCCAAGTATGTTTCTGGACTGCTCTCTGGAAACTAAGCCATTGTCTCCGTCCCCACACAAGGAATGCAGAAATCGGCTATTCCTGAAGCACTTCTCAGTGTGCCCTAGCCCACCTTCTTGGCTACCCTCGCTCTCTGCGTTCTGTCCTCTTCTCCATCAGGCTGCTGCCTGCCTTCCTCCCCCCTCCTGTGATTTAATTCCCCTTAATGAATTCCAGCTTCCAGCTACATCAAAGCCCCAAATGCATTCCTGTTGAGAGAATATAAAGGAAGTCGCTCTTCCCCCACCATCCCCCTCGCCAATTTTGGAGCCTGGGGTTGGGGGCAGGGGAGGTATCGAGCCTTGGCTGGTTGTATGGCTGCAGCCAGCACCCCCTCTGACGGAGGGCAGCTGGGGGTGGTAAAGGTTCCTTTGATCTGTGTATGGGAAGGCAGCTCTGTGTGCATCCTGCGGGGGGGGGGGTGCACTGCGTCAGTATTAGGGCAGCTTTTAGACCTGCCATCTGTACCTTATTTGCAAGCCATACAGTGAACACCCCATGGGAGAAGCAAGCTGTCTCCATTAAGAAAGCTCCGTTTTTATAGGACCGTGTGCCCAATGTACCCACGGGGGTTTGTTGTGCACAGCAGAACAGAAAAAATACTTTGAGCAGGAGTTCTTGAAAACTGAATGTTTTGAAACTGCTCTCCAGTTTCGGAGGCTTTAGCAGAAACTAGTAGCACATTTTCAGTGTGTTTTTCTTCATTATCATACTTATAACATAGTCATACCACTAAAATTCTGTGGCTAACAAACATGGGAGCTATTAATGTGATTTTCTTTATGTCTTCATTTGAAAAAGGTTATGATGCCGTGTGCTGCATTTGCAGTCCATTTTTGTATATTTTCTGGAGTTTTAGTTAGCCAGCTGGAATGTTTTGGGGGGGTGGTTTGCATGTATTTTAAAGAAATGTTTGCAGATAACTACATATTCCAGTTCAGAGACAGCATCTTACTCTTTGGAGTTCTGGAGCTTCCTTGGAATTTGAACGCTGAGGATGTACTTTCTTTAGGAGAAAACTGAAATATTGGAGGTTGCCTTTGTTTGGAAGGCCTTGCACGTTACTGGCTTTGAGTTAAGCCAATTGCCAGTCTGTTGACTGTTCAAAATTCTTCCATTCCCTAACAAACATCTTCCTTGGATTTCTAGAGCGGAGCAGTTTTCTCCAAGTCAGACTAATGGTGAAAGTTCCCCAGAGATGCTGTCCATACGGTTTCAGGTGAGCACACATCCTTCTGCTGAATGGTTCCCTCTTTTTGTACGTGGGACCCAATGTGGAAGCATATGTTTCATGTACGATTGTGGCTTGTATCCATTTTCTTTTTGTCCAGATTACAATAAAACCACTTAGGAGATCTTAAAGGATCAATACAAATGTTACAACAAGGTAGCAATATAAGATGTACCAGCTGAGAAACATCACAAAAATGGCACTTTATGCTGCAGTCCTAGATACACTTACTAGGGAATAAACCCTATTGAATGCAATGAGATTTACTCTTGAGGAAACATCAGGATTGTACTTATAAAGCGAAACAAACTCTTACTGGAATAAGAGAGTGGGTTCTATAGCCTTGGAACCACAACAAAAATGGCCCTGTTTTTCCTGAACTTTACGTTACATTTTCTCTCCTAATATATTGACAGGCAGTCCATCTTTGTTTTTTGGCCTCTTAATCCTATACCTGAAATCTTCCATGTTGAAGAAGCAGGGGCTCTAACCTCACATTAATTTTACTCTGTAATTTAAAAAAATGTAAGTAGGCAAAATATGAGTAAACATTAGAGAAGACACTAGCGGCAAACAAATTGATAAAGTGACAGCCATCCTTAAACTTGTTCCATTTAATTGCTGCATTTGGTGATAATGTATTTCTTTGTGTATTCCTTGTGTAACTTTTCCCACTTCTTTGGTATCAGGGATCTCGCATAAACCTTCCACAATAGGCAGAGCAGTTTCTCAGCCAAACATTTGTCATAATAATTTCTGTGCGGATAGCAAGCTTCTGTGTATATTTGGTCACAAATGTAAAGGATCTGTTTAAAAGGACACACTGTCCAAACTGGCCATTTTACAGATAGCTTTCCAGTATCACTGTGCTTTAAAACAGTCCTGCCATGAACAAGGGAAAAAACCCAGCTCTGCCAGCAGGATGCTTGCACAATTAGAACACATTCACATGGTATCTCCTGGAAGGAGTGTCCAGAATGAAGGTATAAATTTTTTTTCTGTGAAGATTGGCTCATAAGGTGCATCTGCTCTGGGTTGCAAAACCTTTAGGCCACTTACTGAGTCTCAGGGGTGCCCCAGAAGTCATGCTCCCGTTTTCTGGCTTCTCCCCAACTTTCCCAGTGATATTTTTTTTAGCGGTTTTGTAATTTTGTGCAGTTTTTCCCACTTTGTAGAAGATTGCTATATTTATTTTTTATTTATTAATTAAAACATTTTTATGCCGCCCCATTCGCCGAAGCCTCGGGGCGGCTTACAACAATAAATTAAAATAACATTTTAAAATATATACATTAAAATACAAATATACAATCATACAATCCCTAAGTCTTGGTAAGAGCCTCAAGCTACAGTAGCTTAGCATTTCTTGCTATCAGGTGGCATCATTGCCTGAACGCTGCCAACCTGCCGCTCTTTTGAGAGTGTCTCAAACATGCAGTTTTTTCCTTGGACTGCCATGTGCTGCCTTCCCTCATAAATCCAGCATATGGTACTTTGTAATGTCCTTCCGGAGCTTCTTGGCCAGCACAGAGAGCTCTGTCGTTTTTCCTCTGATCAGCAGAGGTACTTTCGGAACGGTCCAGCCCTTGGCAATGCTCTCGTGAACGTGGAATATTGGGTGTCCATTGCTCCTGCCGGCCTGATCCGTGCGCCACCCAAACGGCCTAAGGGATATTGTTCCGTGTCTGTTCCCACACAGCTCTGGTAACATTCAGAGGCAGCAATTCCATGGGGTGTGTCTTGGGAAATGGTTGCTTCTCATGCCAGCCTTGTTTTGCCGGAGGGCTGGCAATATTGCCGGGAGTGGTGACCACTCTGCTGGATCTGCTCCTGAGAACAGCTCCCTTTCCGATTGAACCAGCGCTGCGTGGGAAGAAGGCCAGGCCAAGCATGGCTGGCCTTGTCATTAAGTGGGGAGAGACTGGCCGCCTCGAGGCGACATATTTTGGGATACCAGTAAAGGGCAGATTGGTTGATTTTTGCACCGCTGTGAGCGACATCAGCGGGATTTCCTGGCCCAGGCACCCCGTGTGTTGGGCTCTCTGCACAGCGCCATCTTGCTGATGTTGCTTTTGTGGCCTCCTTCCGCAGGATGCTGTGAGAACCAGAGACGATGGCCCAAGCTCGCTGAGATCTTCCTACTCCAGCCCAGCTTCCATCAGCCCACGACCAGGCAGTCCCTTCTCTCCTTCATCTCCCGGATATCGCTCGGGCAGTCCGTACAGCCCCCAGAGGCCCAGCCTGCCCAGCAAGGGCAGAGGAGAGTCAGTGGTGAACAGTCGCAGGTAGGTAATAAGCATAATAGACAGCCAGGCAGTGTGGTGTAGTGGTTGGGGTGCTGGAGTGAGCCTTGAGAGACTCCCCACTTGACCATGAAGCTCCCTGGATGACTTTGGGCCAGTTACTCTCAGCTTGACCTACCTTGCTGGGTTGTTGTGAGGATAAAAGGTTGAGGAGGGCCCAGTACTCCCCTTTAGGGAAGTGGAAAAAAGCAGAACGCTAATGTGTTGATGATGGTGATGAGATGTGGTGGAACAGATCAAGGCCAGCATCCTGTCTCCCAGGGTGACCCTGCAGAAGCCCGTGAGCAGGGTGTGAAGGTGGAGGTTTTGTTTAACTTTCAGGGCACCTGGTTATTGCTAGAGTCTTTGCAATTGCCTTTTAAAGCTATCTGAGCCCTCACCCACTGTCCATATTATTGAAAGACCCCCACTTCTGCTAGCTGATAAGAGATACACTTCACTCCTAACATTGTTTGTTTGTTTGTTTTATTTAAAGCTTTTATATACTGTCCTTCACTAAGTCCCAGAACGGGAATACAATAAAATAAAAGTACAGCATTGGACGTCAAATTACAGCAAATAAAACCCCATCTTTAAAACATATCACCATGAACAACATTAGAACCATCTAATATGCCCTTTTTAATCATATTTTTATCCAAGCCGGGAATGACACGCCTCTGCCTCTCCTCTCCTCTCCTCTCCTCTCCTCTCCTCTCCTCTCCTCCGTCATCATTTCCTGGATTGTCTTTCTGAGACTGCATGCCAAGGTTGGGAAGCTCAGAGCCAAAAGTGGACAGGACCGGGCCTTTTTCCTTCTTTCTGCCATTCCCCATTCTGTCTTTCTCTCTGCCAAGCTAGGTTGCCTTCAGAGGGAAGTGAGTCGTTGACTTACAGAAGGCTTTTGGATCAAGCCAAAGGTTGCCTATCCTTGATCTAAAAAGTCCCATGCACTTCAGCCTCTGCGGAAGCTGTTCCAACTGATAGATTGATTTGATCGCCCTTTTCTATACCCCTGCAGTGTCCCTGCTGCTGCTTCCATTCCCGCTTCCTCTTTCCGCCTCGCATGCTGCTCTCAGAGGGGCAGATTAGACTATCATAACCCTTCCGACATGGAGCTGTACATGACCAAAGTGCTAGAGATTTACGTAAAGGCAATATAAGGCCATTTTGTACTCAGTTCCCTTTCTAGTATGGAATTTGTATCTCTTACTTTTGCTGCACATTGAGCTGATGTTGTCACTGAGCTAACACCACAGCACCAGGAACTTTTTCTTGCACAATCAGAGCGATTTCGCACCTTACAACACGTACCAAAGCTTGTTTGCCAATTCAGCCAACTGATCTGTTCACTCTGTTTGGAGAGATCCTTTTGGAGCACGTTGGTTTGGAGTTTCACCCACCTAAATGTTATCTTCAAGGCTGTCTATTTTACTGCTCACTCCATGATTGAAGTATTTATACCTGTTCAATAACACTGGCCTCCAAACAGTTCCACATGGATTGCCACTGTCTACTTCCCCCCACCTTGAAGCTGGCTTATTTCTATTTCTTGTTGTTTAGGTCCCAAGGTTCTTGCATTTATGCAGGAACTTCTAGTTGAGTAAACGAGTCACATCTTTTTTGGAAGTCCAAGCATATGTCTTCCGAATTACCCATGTCAATGTGTGTCTTGACACTTTCAGAAGAAATCTGAAAGGTTATCAAGGCAGGGCTTGCCTTGCAAGAGCCATGCTTTGATTTCTGTGTGTGCAGTAATTCTAAATTTTAATCATGCTTTTCATCCATTTTTCCTGGTTTAGACATTAGGCAAACAGGGCTTGAACTGCAGGCTTCCTCACCCACCCACCCCGCCCCCTGCGCATTCCTTTATAAATACTAGTGTGTTTTAGCAACTTTCCAGTCCTACTAAGGCAAATTGTTTTAGTGCAAGTTGCATACTTTTTTTTAAGAAGATCAACATTTTTATGCGCTTGAATTCTTTAGGGACTCTAGACTATATGCAAGTCCAGTGACTTGCTAATTTGCAATTTGTCCTTGTCACTTGTAAGCTCTTTGATTTATTGGTCCATGTGCCCTCCCCACACAACATAATTCAAGAATGAGTATCTGTCTGTCATCAAATGCAGTCAAACCCAAAATAAAGAAACCATCCAGCTTCTCTGGATCATCTCCTCTGCTGAAGAACACAGAAATTCTGGTGCATTGGGCCAAGAGCCTGTTTTGTCCGGCATTCTGTTCCCACGATGGTCCACCCGATGTCCATGGGGGACCCACAAGGAAGACGAGAGTTCAGTAGCCTTTTTCTGCTCATGTTCCCTAGCCCCCGATGTTAAGTAGTACACTGTCCCTGAGAGTGGAAGTAAAGTTTAGACATAGTTTAGCTGCTTAGTGTTGACAGCCATGTTGTAGTGTTCTGATTATATGCCATCAAGTTATTTCCGACTTAGGGCCACCCTATGAGCGAAAGCCCTCCAAAATGTCTGGTCCTTGGCAGCCCTGCTCAGCTGTTGTAAATTCAAGACCGTGGAGTTGATCCATCTCACATTTGGTCTTCCCTTTCTGCTTCTGCCTTTGACCTTCCCTGGCACGGTTGTCTTCTGGGAGTTTTGCCTTCTTGTGCCAAACATTAACAGTCAAATCCTTCATGAATATGCCAGTATCCTTTGAAATCCACCCATGTTGGATCTGCATTGCTTAACTAGGCAGCATGTGAAGATACATGGTTCCTTCTGCCCGTCCTGAATCTCCCGTCTTCCATGACTTCAGGTTCTATTATTGAGAGTCAGAAAAAAGGCCTCCTGTCCATACCAGGCGTAGTTTTACACATCTTGGTGATGTCTCCCTCACCCTCACTCACCTTTTTTCTAAGCTGAACAGTACCAGCTTTTGCAACATTTCCTCATAAGGGAGCTGCTCCAGCCCTTTGATCATTGTAGTTTCCCTTTTCTGTATTTTCCCCAACTTTACAGCTTCCTTTTTGAGGTGACCAGAACTACATAGAGGCATTGTGATGTGGTCCTTTGGTTTGTCATTGTTTTCAGTATGATCCCAATACAACTGTGCCCCCACCCTGGATCAAAGTTTTCACCAATATCCTTATCCTTCAAGGAATCTTGGTTATTGGGTACTTGGGTAAATTGGGTATTGGGTAAATTGGTTATTGGGTAAATTAAATAGATACTGTAAACACTCCTTTCACACCTTTGCAATCAAATGAGGCAACTCCCCTCCCCAACTAATTTCTTGTTCCTGATGTTATTGAAAGAAATGTTATTGCTTTTAATATGAACCACAGTAGGCCTTTCAGATTTGCTCTTGCAATTCTTTCTCTGCTTCTCATATTGTTGACTTGAATTGGTTTTGCCCGAATTTGTGCTTGCTCATTTAAGCAAGATGTCCATTTTTAAAAGGAAGTTCCTTTCTTCAGGTAGACCCCTCATTTGCCCTGCTCTCATCCTTTTGATTCATTTCTGCCTTTCCCAGTCATCTGGCTTTCTGTCTGAGTTTTTATTATAAGCTCAAAAGGGATTTGACTTGCTTGACTTGAAAGGGGCATCAACTTCCTTTTAACAGCTATGTACCTTAATTTTTAAGACGGTAGCCCACCAGGTAACCATATCAGGATGAACGTGTTTGGCAGGCGTGCGAGCCGTCCTCCCACCGGACTCTCGTGCTTGATACTCTGCATGAACTGCTGCTGAGATGTTTGTGTTTGACATCACCTTTGTTTAGGAACTGAGAACACAGTTGATCCTATTTGCCCCTTTTCCCTTGCAATATGCAGATGTCTCTGTGTTTTCTTTCAGCTTCCAGTCTCTGGGGAGTTCATTAGGAATCTCTGGCGAATGCTCTCCACCACTCCATGGGCAGCAACATCCAAGCAACAGACAGGTAAAGAACTGAAGCTGCTTGTGGGATTCCCAGGAGTTCTGCAGATTATATCTGTATAGTGCCAACAAGTTGAACTCTATGCTGAGCAGGTTGTTTCTGAGAAGTGGCACTTACGGTGCTTAGGTCCCTGCCCCAGGGTACTTAGAGTAAAGTTTGAAAGCAGGGAAAGAATAGAAGGTGCACAGTGGGCAAAGATAAGGAGGGAAATGGTGAGCAAAGGGAGTTAAATGCACATATTTTGCACCTGGGTCTTTGTCTCTTTCACAGTGAAGGAAGATTTTCAAGATTTTCTCATCCGTCTGTATGCCTGCTTGAGGCATGGCCTGCTAAAAACTTTCTTGCCACACCTGTCATTGTTTTCTGGAGAAAAGATGGGGGGATTGGCAAGCCCGACATCATCTCTTCTACTAATTTCCCATCCCAGCTCCCACTCCCCTGTTTCTCTGCTCTTGTGCTAGTGAGCGGGTATCAAGTCTGAGCTCCTGATTTGCTGGTGGAGTCTCTCCACCTCTGCTGCCCCCTTCAGGCGACGCTTTTCGCTATATTGACTTCCCTGCTGCTGTGGACTCAAAGGTCTCTGGCACGTGTCCCTGCAGGTAGGAGCACACCTGGCTGGGGATGTTTGCTTGTTCCTGTCTGGTGTCTCCAGGCAACAGCTGGGAGCTGGGGAGGCGGAACCAGTTTAGGGGAGGCAGAACCACTGCCAGCACCTCTTGGATGCAGGAGGCAGGGTGTTGGCAGGGAGCTAAGCCTCCCAAATTGCCTCCCTAGGATCTATCAGGGCGCCTGTTCAAAGCAGTCCCCTGACTGCCTCAGCCAAAGGGTTTGCGTTGTTAAAGGTGGGAACCCCTGACTTGAGCCTCGTTTCCTGAGACAGCTTTGCACTGGGGGTCTGTTCAGATGAGTTTTTCCTGCGGTGTTAGAACTGATCTTGAGAACAGTCTGCCTTTCTCTCTCTCTCTCTCTATTTTAAAATACCTTTCTGTGTCTGCCACTGAAATGCTGTCGACTTTTTTGTTTGCAACAATGTCAAAGATAAATCCACGGGATCCCTTTGCCACCATCTAAGCTTAGGTTTTCTTGAAGCTCCATTCTCAGTCGCTGCGGAAGGAATTGTGAGTCTCTTCCCTGTTCAGCAAAGACAGACCAAAAACGCCTTGTGGCTTCCGTTTTAAAACATAAGAGCGGCCCTGCTGGATCGGACCAGGGTCCATTTAGTCCGGAATTCTGCTTACTCAGTGGCCAACCAGCTGCCCACAAGGAGGACTTGAGTCCAAAAGCACCCTTCTGCCTATGCTTCCCTGCAAGTGGCACTGGAGACCGCAAATGGCCTTCAGGATTGGCCACCTTTTAACGGCATCCAGATTGGTGGTTTTCTTTTGGTGTGGTGTCTGAAAGGGCGGCAAGTTGTCGTGGGTCCATGGCTGTTTGGCACAGTAGGGCTTCCGCTGTAGAATCTGGTTCAGCTCTATAGAATTTGCATAGTTGTAGTTGAAGAGTGGCAACCTTCTAACCCTTTTGATCATGTTGTAACCTTGGAAATGCAGAGATTTTACACGGGCCTTTTCCTGGTCAGCTTCCCTAAGAATTTTTTCCAGCATTTTGCCCCCAACATCCTTCTGTCCTGGTCTCTCTTTGACTTATTTTCTATTTTCTGGATTGTTTTCCTTTTATGGGCACCCAAAGGAGTCCCTGCTAGGGGTAGAAATAAAAAGGTTTTGTCCAATTACAGATTATGCCAAGGAATTAATTGCATAAATTAAGTCCACACTGAGGCAAGTCTGTCACATTTGCATAATTTGAATTGCAGAATTTTGCTTTTGGCTGGCATAATTTGTTTATTGACTTACATTCAAAAGCCTGCCCTGTCCTGAAGGCTTTGGGTGGATGTTAGAAGCAAAAATAGCACCTTGTCCTATCAAGACTGAGCTTAGCAAAAACGCATTCAAATATACCATTTTGTTCCTCATTGGCCAATTTAATGCTGAGCCCTAAAGGACCCCCCACTCCCAAAATGCAGGTCTTTCTGCTTCTGAAAGCGCTCGGGATGGATGTCAGTAAGTCTGGTCGGAGGGAGTCCCCACTTTGCCCCCTTTCTATTTATGGCACATAAATTAAAGCACTGGGATGCCCTGTTGTGTGGGATTGTTGGGCTGCAGCTTTCATCAGTCTTCACAACAGAACTGCATGTACCCGCTGCTGCTGCTGCTGCTGCAGAGGACGAAATCCCAGGCAAGAACGAGAGCTAAGAACAGGCGCAGAGTCCTGCTGGATCAGGCCCGTCTCATCCCCTGTTCTGTTCACACAGTGATCAACCTGTTGCCAGCAGGAAAGTTGCAAGCAGGGTGTTCAGAGCCACAGCACGCTCTTGCCCACGTTCCCCAGCATACTGCCTCTGATATGGCAGTAGCATGGAGCCATCGGGACTCACTGGTGCGGCACAGTGGCTAAGAAACTGAGCCATGGATCAGGAAGTCCCTGCCTTGAATTGTTACTATATTTTTATGAATTTTAAACCCAATAAAAACAGCAATAGATTCAACATTAGATCAGGTGGGTAGTATGCTCAGTCCATGCTGCAATCCAGCAGTAATCTCATTCAGCTTCAGTCCCTCATCTCTATTACGGGGGTGGGGGGATGAAGATGATGATGAAGATGTCCTCGACTGCAACATTCTAATGCATACGAAGCTCCCTGAGCACTTGAAAGCGCTATATAAATGTTAAAATCTTCCTATCCATTCCAGGCCGCATGCTTGCTCTTGCTTCCCAGTCCCGCTTCCTGCAGCTGCAGAGGGCTCCTTGAGGACTTTTCTGGGCCCATCCAGTGGGCTCTGTGGCCGTTTTTCCTGGGTGATCCTGCTGGAATGCCTGTGTCCTCCCAGGAAACCTGCTCCTCTCCCCTGCGCTCTTTGAGCCTCTTGTCTCTGTGCCCAACGTCCTGGCATCTGCTGCTCCTGTTGCTTTTGGGCTGGGTGCTGCTGTTTGTTTGCTTGTTTTGGCTCCGAGGCCTGGTCTCTCTGTGTGTTTTGCTATGCTCTGGGGCTGTTTTTCAAGCCCAAATTGGGAAGGGAGGTTGGCCCCAGAGCACGGAGCTTGCCAGCTGGCAACTGGCTTGCCCCAGCCCTGCAACCCCTTGGCTTCTCTGCCTTGTTTTTCTTTCCCTTCTGGCATTTATTTGCTTTAGCTCTTGGCCCTGTTGGCTGGCCTCCTCCCTACCCGGTGGTTGCATCAGTGCTGGGGGCTAAGGGTTGGAGGGTGGTTAGCAGAGACTGAAGGCCTGCTGGGTTCTCCCTTATCTTATTTCCCCCAGAAAAAAATTCCTTAGCCATGCAGTCCTTTGGATGGGGAGAAGACAGCAATGATCTTCCAAGACTGCCACTTCTAATGTGAGCTGCAAAGCCAGGAGAACCCTGCTCTGCACTGCCAGCCTGCCCCGTTTCTTCTGACTCTTCAGGGAGCTTGGGTGCCAAGACCATAACGAGGTGGGGCTGGGGTGCTGCAGGCGTATTCTGGCTTGGAGACCCAGTCTCTGGATGGTGGGTCCACCACTCGATAGTAGAGCACCTCCTTGGCTTGGGGAAGGTGCTGGTTCAGCTTTTCCCGTATCTTGAGGTAGGACTGAAGAAGGTCCATCCGGGGACTCTGCAGAGCCACTGTCCAGGCCAGGGACAGGCAGCCTTTTGGGGTTTTCTGGCAATTTAACAAATCCTCCTGGGCACCACCGAAAATGGCTCTCTTGGAAAGCATGGCAAGGCGCGAATAATCCGCCCAAACAACGAGGCAGGGTACAGTTTGAGCCACAAGGCACCAGAGTGGTGTTACGGGGCCACCTGCTGGGACTGATGCCCCGAATCTTTCCTTTGGGGCGCTCAATCTGTGGGAGGTCCTCTGCCCCCCCCTCCTGCTGTCCAAGGCACAGGGGCCCTGGACTGGCTTTTGGCCACAAGTCCATCTCCAGCTGCCTCCCCACATCCTTCCTGAGGTTTTTCTCAGAAGTCAAAAGTCTTCCTCTCTTTTGTCCATGCATTTTTTTTTCAAATAGGGATGCCTTTAGAGACAAACTTTAGTGCATACAATTGAGCATATGACTTATTTATTTGTTTGGTCCTGTGGGCATGAGCCTCATATCTTTTCTGTACCTTTGCACCATCCTGGTCCAGTACACAACCAAATGCCTCTAGAAAACCGACAAGCAGGGCATGACTATTTAATTTATTTAATAGTCAATCATCAATAGCCATCCCATTTTTGCAGTTTCTGAATATGGAGGATCCATCAAACTGTTGAGTCTGACAGCTGCTGAGAGACCACTTTTCCTGCATTCATTTGCCTAATTCCTCTTTAAATTTATTTTCCATTTGAAGCATTTTGATCCCATTCTTTAGTCAGAACATCTGCCAGAGTGGCTTCAGGTTAACAATAATAATAAAAATAACAAAAGGCCAAGAATCCCTGCTGCAAACTTACAATCTGAATGACACAAAAGGAAAAGCAGAAGAGGGGGGAGGAGGAAAAAAGCAGGTACCCAAGTCATTTTATTCATTCATTCAGTTTCTATCCCAACTTTTTTCCCTTCCAGCGAACTCAAGGGGGCTTACATAATTCTCTTTAAGGCCTTCCAAGCCAGTGCCCACATCTCATGTCAGCAAATTCCACACATTTATGCATTGTGCAATTTTTTCCCTTTGGCCTGTGCTGAATCTTCAGCCACTTGATTTTCTTCGGTGGCTGCATGCATAGTTTTATAAACCTCCCATCATGTCCTCATCTTTCTTCTCATGAAAAAGCATGTGCGCTTGAATCCTTTCCTCGCAGTGAACACGCTCTGTCTCCTTAATCGTTTTGGTGTGCCGTTTCTGCACTTCTTCCAGCTCATATTGTTTCTTTTAAAGACAGGATGATCGAAACTAAACACAGAGGACCAGATGTGGTTGCACCATAGCATGCATAGATGTTAACATGCACCAGGCATTTTATTCTCTTTCCCAGTGGAATGATGGACCACAGCCTGGCATCCTTATTAGGGTTAGCAACCAACCTGTCTCTTACTTTTCTGGCTGTCATAGCTACCTTCAGCTGGGTAAAGAGCTGGTGTTTGCAATGGCAGCAAACCCAAGGTTCTGTCCTAGCTCTGTGCCTGGTCCTCAACTCTGCCAGGGGTGGAGGAGAGTGGGAAGCCTGTGTTTTTGAAATCCAAATCCTAAATAGGATGGGTGCTGCTCGAGTGGGTGGGGGGAGAGCAACATGCATGGGAGAGAGTCTATGTGTATTTGGCAGGGCCCCAGAACTGGAAAGTCAAGCAAATCAAGGCATTTAGCAAAAAAACAAAAAACACACCAAAAATGGTATGAAGGGTTTGGTGGAATGTTTATGTGGATTTAATTATCCCTTGAAGTTGGCTTGTGTGCATGCAAGATGGGTGGGCATTCCAGAGCCAAGGATTTGCTTGGAGGGCAAAGGGGCTTTGGGGAGGTCCGGCGAGGGACTCTCCTTGAAGCTGGCTTTCATGGGAGGGGAAATTAGCACCGTTAGGTATCCCTTTGTTTCTCTGGTGGTGGGGAAAATGGAGACCATATACAAAGGCTGATTGAATCTGTCAAGTTGCTTGCATCCTGCTGCTCCCAGAAACATTTGCTTCTACTTAGGGAAAGGGTTTTTCCTTTCTTCCATCTCCAAGACCTTTAAACAGGAGCAGATGCAGTGGAAAGGAGACTTTTTAAAGGTATTGGGCCAGAGGTAGCCTGTGCCTTCAAAATGACAGGCCACTTGGGGGTGGGAGGGGAAGGCTAGAAGACACACCGGGGCAGGAAGATGCAGAAGAGCAAGAAGCACTCTGGGAAGGTTGTGCGGCAGAGGGATGCAGATGTTCTGCGTATCTCCTCTGTCCCGCATCCCAACAGTGCGCGACTCAGATGTTTGTGCAATGCAAAAAGGAGCCTCTCAAGATTTTGTGCCACTGGGCTCCTGTGGGACGTCCAGTCCAACCTTCCCCAACATGGTGGCCGTCAGAGGACTTTGGACCACAACTCCCAGAATTCCCATCCAGCAGGGCCAATGACTAGGAATTCTGGGTGTTGCAGTCCAAATGTGTCTGGAAGGCACAAGGTGGGGAAGGCTGGTCCCGTCCTGAGCTATTTAGGCTTGCAAAGTGCTAGGAAGTTCCAGGGACATGTTTCTTTCCAAGAACAAATATTGGAAACTTAAAACTTTTCTATAATGTCGCTTTTATGAATGTGCTGAGCATGGTAAGCAGGTTCCTAAGTAAACGCAAGTCTTCCGTGCATCACCAGTTGCCCCGAAACACCAGGATACCGTTAAAGCTGTTGAGAGTCAGAGTGGTGGAGGGGTTCCTGGTTACTTCACGTGGAAGGTCCAGGTCTGCTTAGCCATGTACTTACAGCCTGTCCTACCTCACAGGACTGTTGTGAGAATGAAACAGGAGGAGAACCACGTAAGCTGCCTTGAACTCCTTGTGAGAGGAAAAGAGGCAGGTTGTAACAGTATTCTTGCATAGGGTCGCTGCATATTTCCCAGGCCATGCGCCACATCTGCCGCTGACCCCTCCCTGTGGTTCAGGGTTGCTCCATAGGAACAGAATTTGTTCAGAACATGGGCTGTGGCGCTGAGCCAGGCCGGACTGTGTGTCTTCCTTGTACTAGCAGTGTCCACTCCAGTGAAGCCTTTTCCTGTCACCGGCCCTTGATGCTTTTCACTGGGAGCTGGGCTGTTTTGGCATTCCTGTAACTGCTCTGCCACAGAGCTGCAGTCATGCTTGTACCTTCAGTTCCTTTGACACCCGTGCTTGCGAGGCGCTATTGGGTGGATCGGACCACTCGAGTCTTCCGTCCCAGGATTGTTGGCTGTGACTCCTGTTGCCCCTGTGGGGACGTGGGCCAAAGCCCCGTCATTTTAGAATGCTGCACTGAAGATGCTCTGGACTGATTAAGGAGCCTTGCATGGCAAGGGTGTATTTCTGGCAAGCATCTGCTCTGCTGCGAATGCCAAGGGGCCGTGCACGAGTTCTGTGTCACTGAGCAATTTCCGTTCCATGCAGTGCATACCAGGGGGCTGCAGGATATAAAAGGATACCAGGCAGAGAAAGTTGCACAGACCCATTTTAGATCCTGTTGAAATCCTCTGCAAGCAAAATGGCACTGGATCCACAGGGTTTCAGGATCCGACCTGCTGCTCCAATCCTGAAGACAGAGCCAAACCCCCTCAGTACTCTGTTGCTTCCCAGACCTGGGCACAAAAGGTCCAGTAGTCCATCCTGAGCATTGTGGTCCGGAAGAGAAAGTGCTCAAAGCGTCTTCCGAGATGGACACACCTGGGCCTTAGTTGCCACAGTCTGTGAAATGGGAAGAATCAGTCTTGAATGAGCTTTCTTGCCTTTCTCTTTTGCTCACCACCAGCCCAGCTGCCTCTGCTGCTCCTCTCTTCTCCTTCACTGGCCCCACTATGCATCTTGAAGGCCTGGAGTGCCCTCTTGTGGTCAGTGTCTGCCCTGAAGCAAGCGGATTGTGGAGGGATGGTATCTGGAAGATGCCTCACCCATTGGGCAAGAGTTTTAGGGCAGGCGTTGACTGCTAGAACTCAAGGATGAGTGTACACACAAGAATGTGCACTTTCCAACTTTCTCTTCCTCCTCCTTTCCGGCTTTGGAGGAAATGAGTTAATTGTAGGCTTCACTCAGTTTAAGTTCAGCCCCATTCATGCACCGCTATCTCTCCCAGACAAGCTTCTCTTCAGGTGACTCTTTGCCCTGCTAGAACATCAAGTTTAGCTTATCACAGAAACCCTCCTAATTGCATGGAAAATTTCCTTCTGGTGAAGTAATATGTGAAGACCATCGTAATAGCTGAATCTGTAGCTCTTCTGTAAATGCTGTGATTGTCCCAGCATTTCTGACTTTGCAAAGCAGCTTGCCGTTTTTCTTCCTTGTTATCCTCAAAGCAGCTTTGCAAGGTAAACAAGCTAGTGTTGTTTCTATTCCACATGTGGAGAAACTGAGGCTACCGCTGCGTCTGTGGCAAAGATGGGGTTTGAAACCAAGCATCCCTGCTGCAAGGCAAGCAGCCAGATTGCATTGGCTCTGAAGCAGCTCTGCAAAGAGCCAAGGCATCTAGTTTCTGTTTCTCGGGATTCTGAAGACTTGCCTCCCCAAATGTTACAAAATAAGGACATTTTTTTCGGTATTGCCACTCCCCGCTGCAATGTATTTAGTTAAAACTAGCAATAAGCTGAACTAAAGAAAAACTTTAAAACACACACACAGAGGGTAACAGTTTGTTTCTGGTATACATAGCATAACACGGGAAGAGATTGCCACTGACATTTCCATGCTGACATGAAAGACACACTCTGTTCATCTTAGCAGTACATTGTTTGCTGAATGAAATGCACACCGTTGATAGTTTTGCAAGGTTTGGTGAAGGGGTTCCGTAAGGAATTGGTTGCACTTGAAGAAATTGTGTGTACGTGTGCTCAGGAGTGGAGGAGATATATGGGAGCAGTGGGCTAATTTCTCTGTACCTGCGCTGTGGGAAGTTGAGCACCGTAGATGAAAACTGCAAATCAAAAGTGCGTTTTTGCTTCTGCCAGTGTAAACAGATTGGATGCATTTGCTCCCCCCGCCCCCCGCAAAAGGGTGTTCTGCTTCTCCTTTCTTGTGTAGTGTCTTTATATCCTCCCCTTCCTCTTTTTCTCTCTTGGCTGCAGGAACAAAGGAGCTTCAGCCACACCAGTGCCTTTCCAGTTACTGTTCTGCCTCCAGTAAATGGCTCTCCATCTTCAGGAGCCTATTCCCTCTCCACCCCTTGGGAGAGCAGGAAGGAGCAAGACAGGCGCTCGGCTTCCCTCAGCCGCAGTTACAGGTAATCTGCCTAGCTCAGTCAGCATTGTCAAGTGACAGGCTCAAGGAGTCCTTGATTTAAGGCACAGCACTCATCGACTCACCAGGAAATGTTTGGCAAGTTATTAAGGACCTAGGAGGAGCCATGCTGGATCAGACCAAACCTCCATCCAAGCCTGCATTCTGTTCGCAGAGAGGGCACCCAGCTGCTCTTGGGAAGTTGTGAGCCATCCAGAGACGCGGAGTGATGGGCGGCCTAGAAATATCCCAAATAAATAAGTGCACAAGCAGGTCAGGATTGCAACAGCATCCTTCTCTTCCTCTTCCTCTGATACTGAGCTAGTTATTGGGACTAATGGCCATCGATAGCTTTATCCACCGTGAATTTATCTAATCCCTGATGTGGGCACATCTCTGCCCTTGTCTTTTCCTAGTAGATCTAAAGTAGTAGACTTTTCCTAGTAGATTTTTCTAAGAGACTTTTGAAATACAGCCTTTTATCTGAGCTAGGCAGGGGTTTTGTGATACTGGGTGCTTCATAAGGAGATTCTTCCCAAGCGACATCAATCAAAGTAACATCCCCTCAGTCATCAGTCCTTCAAACATCAATTTCAAGCAACATCAAGCAATAGATTCTTCCCAAGCAACATCAATCAAAGTAACATTCCCTCCAGTTTCTGGGAGAAACTCTTGCCCTTACAGAGAGCTGATTCCAAGAATTCCTGACAGCTTTCCGTTACACTCCCTTCCTATCCTGAAAGCTTGGCTTGACTCTCAGGGATGTTTGTGCAGCTTGTGGGCCAGATAGCAGGAACATTGGACATTACTTAATTGGGTCGCTCATTTGGCTTGACTCTGGCTCACTGGGTTAATGAATTCACACTCCTCTTCCTCAGACCCTTGTTAACACTGCTTTCCCTCCAAACCTGAGGCAGACCAATAACTTGGAGGCTGTCTGACAAACCTCGCTCATTAAGCTTGATGTTTCCATGGACCATTCCAACCCCTCTCCTTCTCCATCTAGTTCTCATTCCAAGTGTGAGTTTTCCCAGTGGATTGCCAGAAATGGGCGCCACCTCTGCAATCCCCTTTTAAAAGCATCCAAATAGGTGGACATCACTTTGACTCATGGAAGTCAGTTCCATAGTTTAACAGGGCTGCATATGAAACTTCACTGCATCTCGTGCCTCTTCGTTCATCTTTTTCTCACAGCCCTTACCTGCAGTATGGGAAAAATAATCCTGCAGTTGGATCGTTTGTGAAGATTAAAGAAATTGTTTGTGAAACTGCTAAGCCAGACAAGATATGAGAGATCCATGGGTGAGGGAAAGCCTTTTTGGCCCTTGCCTCTATGCCAGAGGTACAAGGCCCATCTTCTGCATCCCAGGAAGATGTCACAACAAGGAAAAGACCATCCTGGTCCCGTTCATTGGCCAGAGAAGGAGCAGCAGCAGGGAGCTTTGCTTATATTAATTATATTTCTGTAATGCCCAATAGCTAAGCTCTCCAGACAGATTTCAAACAATCAAAATTAGCACAATAGCATGAGACCATAATGAGGCACATTTAAAACTGCAATAAATACCAAAGGACCAGCCAGCAGGAGCAAGGTAAAAATCTAAAAATGCAATCATCCATTTAAAACCAAAAAGATGAAAGGACTAAAATGCCTGGGGGAAAGAAAAGGCCTTCACTGGGCAGCAAACAAAGCACAGCACAGGTACCTGGCGAGCATCTCTTGGGAGAGCATTCCACACCCAGGGTGCCACCACTAAAAAGCCCCATTCCTTTTTAGCCACAGGGTCGCCCATCAAAAGTAGCATTCGGCACCAGCCTCCCATTGCCCTAGAACCAAAGGGAAGCATGCTGTGTGCTCATCCATTGGCCAGAAGAACAGAATCCACTGGGTAGTTTCACCATCTTATCCAGAATAGCAGCAGCAAAGGAGAACCAGGCTGACCCTGTCTGGACAGGCATGCCTGTTAACTCGCTGCTTGTTCTAGTGTGTGGGGCCAATCTCTGCTCCTCTTCCCTGGTACACTTTGCCAGTCTGTTTGTCTTTTCTAGCTTGCACGCCTTAAGGGGAGGACCAGTGTCTCCTTTTTTGACTACACAAGACAGATCTTGGCACAGCTTGGTGGTGGCAGCCTTGAAGCAAACACATTCATCTAGGCAGGATTTAGGGTGAATCTGTAGAATATTTCTACTGCTGGAGCTGGGGAAAGAAGCACAGACTCAGCAGGGTGGCTCCCTCCCTTCCCACCTAGAAGCAGCACTTGTCTTCCTGAAGGACATGCCCAGGCGGCAGCTTTTTGTGCATTCAGTTCATTGTTTATGTAATTAATCCAAGCCCCAGGAAGCTGGCAAAGGCGGTGCTAATCAAGAACCATTTTTCCATCGTTCTGCAGTGACTCCTGTCACGTGAGTTGCATAGACTCTGTTGGCCTTACCCATGGGACTCCTGTGGTGTTGGCAGGAAGGGACAGGTGGGGATTGTTGTACATGGGCGGAGCCAAGGCATGTGTGCTCTGAAAGAAACACGCTTCTCTGCCTTCTACATGATCACCTGAGAGAACTAGCCAGGGATATCACAACGCAGGGAAATTCGTTTGAGCTGAACTCCTTTGCATGCCTGTTTCCATGCCTGGGTGGGGGTGGCCTGGGTGGGGGTGGGTGGGTTGGCGGCCTGCAGTTTTAAGTGCTGGTAAAATTTGTTCAACTGTATGCACAACAACCATTTGTTTATTTTATTTATTTAGAAAATTTCTATGCCGCCCCATTTGCCGAAGCCTCGGGGCGGCTTACAAATAAATCAATTAAAATACTATAAATTAACAATATAAAACCATGTAGCTGTAATGTGATTTTTACAAAATCAAGTGATTTGTACAAGGTAAAATTCGTGAGAATCATCTCAGAATACAAGAGGTCCCAAAGAGCCAGTGTAGCTGGGACTCTGGAGATTCAGGATCTGTTCCCCACTGGACCATGAAGCTCCCTGGGTAACTTTGGGCCAGTCACTAACTCTTAGCCTAACCTACCCCACAGGGCTGTTGTTATGAGATTAAAAGGGAGAACAAGAGGAGGGTTAGACAAAAACTGCCTTGTCTTCCATGCAAGGAAATAGCTAGATGTAAAAGATAAAATTCCTAGTACCTCCACTCAACAGCTGTAGCAAGAGACAAAAGAACTTCCCCTGGCTGGGACACCTAAAGGTCTCTTTCCGATCAGAGTAGGGGTGCTCTGTTTTGCCACCAGAGAATTGAGGACAGCCATTTCAGCCCCCAAACCTCCATGTTCTTCTTTGTGGCCTCTCTGCAACATGCATATGGGCCTGCGGGGCACCTGCTGCCAGGAGTCTCCAGTAGCTAAGAGTGTTTTGGCAGGACCCCATCCCCAGCATCCATATAAAAGGGAGGGGCTCCCACCATTTCCCTCAATTCCAGCAAGACCATCTGTGAATGCAGAGAGGAACACACGAAGAATGACCGCTACAGGCAAGCAGCCTGCCAGAATCGCAGCCCCAGATGTTGGGGGCAGAGCAAAAGGACCCATCAAAATCAGACAGCCCTGTAATTAGGGCTCAGATAATTATGTTATTGAGTCATTTCACTTATCCCCTGCTTTTCCAGCAAGGAAGCAGTGTGTTCAAAGCCACTGGAAGCAGCTTTAGCCAGCAATAGCCCTTTCCTAACCTGCAAATTCTCATAATGCAGGTTACTTGATGAACTTGCTATTCCTTTGACTGATTCCTTGCCTTCCTTGGGTGGGGTTAGAGTCAGGTTAGGTCTGGGAGAAGAGCTGCGTCGGGTTGGCCCATTTTGAAGCTGAAGGAAACGTTAACCTTCTCCTGTAACCGTCCCTTCTTTCATGTTGTGTTGGGACTTTCTGCATGGGCGACTGGCACTGTGTAGGGCCCAGTTGGAGCAATTTCTGTTTCCACAGAGCAGGGAAAGGGTTGATTCAAAGCTGCCACTCAGCCAAAAGGCGTCTGACTGTCATGTAGGGAGTGTCCTACCTGCGTCCTCGGAGAGAGAGGGGAAGTGAAGCATTCAGGTGAAAGGGCTGAAGGATTAATCATTGTTGACAGGGTTGGTCCTTGCAGTTGTAGTACTTTCGTGGCAAGAGGAGAAGGCTCTCAGCACTGTCTTACGGGTATAGTCTCTGCGTGATCCTTTTCCTGGAGTTGTACTGCTTGATCAGACGTTGACGGACACGGTCAGGAGATCAGCCCCTCTCTCTCTGGGCTGGTGGTGTTTGCTTCATCACTCGGGGCAACCTCACGGTTAGGTTTCCATGTAGGTGTCTCCTCTTGCATCACAAATCTCAACTCACTTCTTCACTTGTGGATTAAGGAAATGGAAAAGAGGCTTGAGGAAGTTGGAAGTTCTTGTTTCGTAGACAAAGAGGAGTGCGGTGCTTCTTTGAATTTGGGAATGGATAATTTGTGGGTGGATAATGGACCCTTTCTAAAGTTTTCCCTTACCTGGAACCAGGTACTTCGCAGACCTGGCTTGCTTCGCCACTCACCCTGGCACGGGACAAGACTTCGACAGTTTCACCGCCTTCATCTGTGGCACCTGTCTTGGAATGACAGTGCACTGGGCGTCTGTTCCCTGCAGCTCCCAGAGTTCTGTCTTCTTTTCTTTTTTCTTTTGCCAAGCTCTGCAGAATGATGCTCATGAAGGAAGACTGGTTTGTCCTGTCCTCCTGGATCAAAAGCTTCAAGTATTTTTCCTCTTCCCAAGTCCTGACTGCACCTGCTCTTTCTCCTCAGTGTGGATTCAGAGCCAACCATGCATCGTTTGGAAGGAGACTCTGAGGTCTACAAGATGATACAGGAAAACCGCGAAGCCAGGGCCCCTCCACGGCAGTCGAGCACTTTCCGCTTGCTCCAGGTGGCTCTGGAGTTGGATGAGAAAGGTGAGGGGAAAGGTGGGTGGGGTGGGTGAAAATAACATGCATGCATGAAGGAGAACAGTGAGCATAAGTGTATCCACCATCATGAAACATCCCCTATGCCATTTCCTCATGTTGCTGATTATCTCATTCTGTACCATGCTGTTGTTTTGACACTTTTTTTTTGAGGTGGTGGTAGGGTAAATGCAGTGGAGGTGGTGCGTGTCATTATTATTATTATTATTATTATTATTATTATTATTATTATTAGAACATTTCTCTGCCGCCCCTTGCCGAAGCCTTTATGACCAAGTCTGACGTGGTTCTGTTATCTTAGAAAAAAGAGGAATTAAAAAAAACACATTAAAGATGACCTTTTCCTTCTAATCACAAATAGGTGACTTAATAGGGAAAGCACTTTCTCCTATTTTGCTCCTAAACCCTAGAAGACATTTTCCCTGAACTTAGGACTTGTCCTTGTACTCTTAACATTCAGGAAGGAGGTCAAGTCATAGCATTTTAATTTGGCTTTTAAGCTACCATGTTGTTAAGATTTTACCCTGTTTCCATTTCCTTATGATTTTTGCCTTTTGAATTTTTGTAAACAAGCATGGCTGATTGCAGAAGAAGAATGGAAATGCAGTAATTCATATTAAGAACATAAGAAGAGCCATGCTGGGTCAAGCCAAGGGTCCAACTGGCCCAGCTGCCTGCGGGAAACCCATACCCATGTTCCCCTGCAATGAGTATACATAGACATTTCTGCTTCCGATACTGGGGGTACAATCTAGCCATTAAGACTAGTAGCTATTGATAGCCTTCCTCTTCCAGAAATTGGCTAATCCCCTGTAAAGGCATCCAGGCTGGTAGCCGTCACTACTCCTTGTGCAAGTGAATTCCTTGGCAGGAAGATATTCTGCAGGAAATTCTGCAGGAAGAAATTCTTCCTTCAGTCTGTCCGTGAGATAACCCTGGGGATTATGAGAGAGGAGAAAAAGTGTCTCCTTTATCCACTTTCCCTACCTTTATAATTTTGTACACCTTGATCACACCTCACCTTTTTATTATTTATACATCTCACACTTCCATTCAGTAATTCAGTTTTGACTAAAAAGCTCTGAATAGTGAGGGATTTGGGTACCATGAGAATGTTATTTCAGTGTCTTTCTTAAGGCTGCACTTCTATAAATACACACTTGCCTGGGAGCAAATATCCCTGAACTCATTCAGGGGATCCACATGGACTTGCATGTGCTCTACCGTCTGTTGAAAGCCCTGCCGGATTCCTGACAAGGCCTCTTCCTTGCTTTGGCAGAGGGCACCGCCAGTCCCTTCCCCAGCCAGCTGACTCCCAGCGCGCACAAACCGGTCAGCAGCTCTGTGGCTGGCGGTTCCCAGAAGCTGCATGTGTGTGAGAAATGCGGCACCAGCATCACGTGAGTCCCGCTGCTGTCTGGGAGGTGGGGACGGGGCGGAAGGGTTGGTGCTCCTGCAAACGGAGCGGGATAGAAGTCTGCCTGGAGGGGATAGTGGTCACCTAGATGGCTAATCAAGATTGCCAGTCTGGAGACTGGGGCATAGACAATTGGCACTCAGTGCTATGCACTTGGAGAGTCCAGCCCGGTAAGATGGCTGGCTCCCTGTTGCCACCTGCTGGGGAGAGGCTGGATCGACCCTCCGGGGCCCACAAAGCGCCGGTCACCCAGGCAATTGGAATGGAGACAGTTCCTGAAGGATCGCCCCAAAGTCGTAACGTTTACCTGTTTTATTTCGTTAAAATTATTTCAGGCTGAATTTAAGGGCGAACACTTTCCGGGGGCAGAGAGGATAAAAAGCAATGCAAAAGTATACCTTTTCAAGTCACTTGGCCCCACACCATTTGAAGCAGCGTCCCCCAACCTGGTGGCCTTCAGAGGCATTTGGACCACTGTTCCCCGAATTCCCATCCAGCAGAGCCATTGCCTGGGAATTCTGGGTGTTGCAGTCCACCCACCACCAAATGCACTGGTCACCAGTAGAGCTGGGACAGTATCACGTGTCGATATGGTCAGACTGCCCAGCTCCACCAATACCTGGGGGGCTCCATCTGCCTGGGCTGAAGATTGCAAAGCATCTTATAAGGCAGCTGCGTGTAGGGCTCGTTACATTAGTCAGGCATGGAGGTCAGCAGCTCGAGAATGGATGAGGCAACGCCCTCCATCTCCAGGTGGGACCACTGTCGACGTATTAGCATACATGGGTAAAAGTAGGCTGGGCATTGACGCTGCCTGAGCTCCTTTAGTGAGCACAGGCTGTGAGTGCACCCACACTGCTCACTGGGTCATTTGGGGGAGTGCAGCTCCATCTAAAGTCAGGTGTATTTCTCTGTCCCGGTTGGCCAGTTTTAGCACCGAGCATCACACCTGGTGGCCACCTGGTTTGGGTGGGATTATGGGGACCGAATCTGTTATGGCACCTTAAAGACCAGTATGGGGATGAAGAACCTGTGGCACACCAGATGTCCCTGGACTCCAGCCCCCATCAGGCCCAGTCAGCGTCTGGGGGGCCATAGGTCCTCTACCTCTGGATTAATGCATTTGTTATGACATAAGCTTTTGCGAATTAGAACTGTCAGAGGCCGAGGCTGTTATCCCCAGCTGGCAGGAAGGTGCAAGGTTCCCATCCATTGAGGACAGCAGTTCCTGCTCTGCTGTAGTGGACTCCCAAAGTCAAAAGCCGATGATGTAATACATCTGTGGGCCTTAAAAGAGCAACAAAAACCCTGCAATTTTGTTTTAATTGCTCTGTAAACACCACTGTATTTTAAGTCTTAATACCTCTAAGTACCATTAATTTCACAGTGACTGAAAAGTTTAAGAAAGGTTTAAGCATGTGCTTAACTCACTGCTGGGACACTTCCTGTTCTTGGATAGCAACAGAACAGGAGCAAAGGTGCTGCACTTTAGACTTTCAGTCAGGAATTGGAGGACTTGGTGGCCTCCAGAAAGCTGGACTGCTGCTCCCATGAACCCCAGGCAGTATGGTCAATGTTCAGAGATGGATGGGATGTCCAGCAACATCGGGGGGGGGGGGCATGGGTTCCCCATCTGTGCTGCAAAGGGATATTATTATGTTACAAAACTATTTGAAAGGTAGGCTGTGAGATTGCATTTAGGGTAGGACATGGGGATCGATTTTGAGCTGAATGGTGTTCTGGAGTTAAGCTAGAGAGATAAAAGGATTCTTTGGAGGATTGAAGGCTGGTGCACAGAATAATGTGCATTGCATGTGTTTATGAACAAATTTTCTTTGTATAAATTGTTGTGGCATCCAAGACTGAGGATGACGACAGACCGAAAGCCATTGTTAGAAAGTCACTGTACGGACAAGGACGACTTTTGTACCTTTGTCCTGCAATGCCCACTTGCTCCCAGAATACCTTCCGCAATCCTGAGAACTAGAAACTTGGTTTTAGAATGCCAAAGCCAAGATTTACCAGGGTATCCAGTTACAGAATCCTCACCAGGTGCTATTAACATTTATAGGGAGGATCTATAGATTACTCCTTGACTTCTAGATGACTGCTAGCCCCTTTTCACTGGCTGCATCCTCTGTTGTGCCTTTCGCAGGACCCAGGCAGTCCGAATCCAAGAGAACCGCTACCGCCACCCCTCCTGCTACACCTGCACTGACTGTGGGCTCAACTTGAAGATGCGCGGTCACTTCTGGGTTGGAGAAGAGATGTACTGCGAGAAGCACGCCCGCCAGCGCTACCAGGGCCCAGCAGGGGGCACCACCGTCACAGCTGTCTACTCCCCATCCTAAGTGTGCCTGAGCACAGGCGGTGGAGCTGGGGCTGCCACCCCGAAGCTGCCCTCCCAGCACCCCTCCTGCACAACTGCCAGAAGGCCCCCTGGGTCTCTTTCCACTGGCTGTCAGGCCTTTTCCCCCTCGTGCCGTCTCAAGCCGCCAGAATTCAGCCAGTTGAGACACACCCAGGAAAGGAAGTTTCCTCTGCAAAACCGAGTGCATGTGCAGCAGTGGAAGATGGGAGTGGCGATCTTGGGAGCAGGGCTGGCGCTGCACCAGGCAAATGGCTTTTTCAGTTAGCTTGGCACATCTGGGGCACTTTAGAACGGCAAAAGTCTGCATAGCACAAGCACCAAGCCGCCCTTTCTTGGGCCTAAGCAGCTTCAGACGGGAATGGCTGAACTTTCCACTCTGCCAAAGCTGCCTCCAGAAATTCAGTTGTGGGACGCAGCGTGTCTGTGATTTTCCTGCCCGTGCCACCCCTGTCCTAGGGGTAGCCGATGCCAAACACAAGTGTCGCTTGCCTAGTTCCAGTGTCCCTGGAGCAGCATCTCATGGTCCCTTCCACAGCTATAACACCTCTTTTTCCACCACTGCTCCAGTCTCCCTGGATAGGAAATGGAAGAGTGAAAGAAAGTTAGGGATATTAGTGAAATGGTAGCTAATGGGATGGCGTGGGTGCAGCTTTGGTTGTTGATTCTCTGTAAAGCTTCTCTAAGATATTATGCCAGATTTCTATGTGAAATATAATATATATGTATGTATGTAAAGGATGTGCCCCATGCTTGCATTTTCTCTGTAGAGAATTCACTCTTCATGCTGCGCCACATTTTAGGGTTTATAAGAGCAAAATGCTCACTCCCATAATCCCAGCAGCAGGTGGGGGCATAGTCTTTTGGGCCATCTGAGGGAGGACTTGGAAGTGATCCTTAAGCAGTTTTTCCAAATGTTTATAAGGAGGGAGTTCATCACTGCTCCACGGCCACCTCTGAATGCAGAAAACAGACAAAAAGACTGAATATTGGTGATACACGCCTTCCCTCTAGGGTTGGATGAGTGTGAACAGTGGGCATGCATTTATTCCTATTGATATTTCAGAAATTTTGCATCCGGACAAGCAGAGTTCCAGTGCAGGCTGTGAGCGTGAGCCGCTAGTCAACGTGGTATTTCTAAAGCAGCCAGAAGTTGCTGCATGTTGAATTGCAGAATTCTGAAGCCATTGTTCTCATGATTAAACATGCAGCATATTTGCATGCTTCCTCTGCCACCCGATGGGATTACTCCATGCTCAACTGCTCAGCAGAGACCTGGAAATACCCAGAACAATTATTGGAAAAACACTTCTGTGCAAGTTTTATGTTCTGTTGCAGATTCCTGTTGCAAGAAATAGGACTGTGCACTCTTACGTTTTCTCGTTCTGCTGTTCTAACACTGCCTTTTCCTCATTGCCACTTAAATATCAGTCTGTGGTCAGACAATTAATTGTTCTTGAGGTCCAGCAGTTCTGGATACATTCCAAATAGAGGGTCACGGGGGGAATCCAGTTGTGTGCAAAAAAACCCCCTGCATGCAGCCCCCAGTAAGGTTCTAAATAGCCAGTAGCAGAGGGGTACGGCAGCAAAACTGCAGAAGCTACATTACTGAGATATTGGAACCTACATTCTGAAAACAGTAACGACGAGACTGTTTTCATACAACTTTGTCTCAAGGAAACAAACACACTGACCTGCCATTGAAACAATGACAAGGTAGGTACTATCGTATGACACCACCAAGTGCAACATACCAATGTAAAAATGGCTTTGCTGAATGAGACCCGCGGTCCATCGAGTGAGTCTAGTATTTAATTCTGATCACAACCAGGAAACTGTCCCTACAGTAGCTCGCCGGTAGGACAAGGACATTCACCATAAGTGTTGCAAGGCCGGAGTGGGTACCAGCCATCCCGCAGAATGCCTGGCTTTGAACAAGCAGAAGGTTGGCCCAAAGCCTTTTTAGATAATTGCTTCTTTGAGAACAGCACTGCCCTGAAGAGCAGCTCCCTGGACCTTGGATGCTGGTTGAAAGATGAAGCTGCTGGTACTTGCGCACGAGCAAGTTAGGTTAGGCTGGAGAGAAATGACTGGAAGGAGCCCAGTGGGAAATTTGTAACCTGGTTAGAATAACGCTACTCTGTTAGAGTGTGTGTGTTTGCTTTTGACATCTCCACTGTGATGCTGTTTCTCCAAGCCTGGTTAATGAATATTGGAGGTTCAAATCCGTCAGTGTCTGTCTTATGTTGGGTGTGATCACTGTGCATGTGTGCATTTGTGCATGATGTTGAATCTCATGGGCACCTGGAAAATACTGGTGCTTGGGCCATGTGGTCCAGGTGCAGAAATACTAGGTTATGCTGTATGTCCCTTGACTGATTGCCAGTATAAAGAAGAAAATTACATCTTAGTGAAGTTCTTGCTTCTATGTGCAAAAAACTCCCAATATAATTGTCTGCAGTTTAAACTACCTTGCTGGAGTTGGCATTGATGCATCAATGGATCTGAAGGAAACTTCCTATTTCCAAGCTCACCACTCTGCCCGTGATTTCCAAGGTAGCAACGACGTCCAACAACGGAAAAAGTTGTTGCAGTTTTTTCTTGCAGTGTGGCTGGTTAACCCAAGACCACCTTCGTCTCTTCATTTTGCCAGCGATCTTCCTGTTTGGTTGCAGAGATTGTGATGGCTTCCCCGAGTGGTTTCTTCCAGCTGTTACAGATGAAGACATAGCAATATGCCTAAGGAGTTCTGGCAAATTTGGAATTTCATGTTTGGGTGTGCCCTATCCAGCTCTCTTTCCCCCAAACCACTGTAATTTTAAGGTGGGCCTTGCATTTGCTCCAGTTGGACCTTAGAGCTGGACCATTTTTTAAAGTTGCTTCAGTGGCTGATAAAGTCAGTCAGCATGTTGGTCCGAATGAGCCCCAAAACAAAAATTACTTGAAATACGTCTCTACCACAAGGGTCTCCAAACTTGTGGGACTCTTGGGCACAGTTGGCATTTTGAAAATACGCCATGGATACAGTGACAAATAACTAGTGAGGTGGGGTGAGAGGCAAATCACAAAAATACTAGGCCAGCCCCCACCCACTCCCGTCAGTGTGCGTACGCATTAATGTGCATGCTGTGCTGTGTGTACTACTAAGTCTGATTTCTCTGTCTCTAGCTCTTTCCTTCCTTGTATCCTGCTTCGCTGCTTTCTCTCTCACAGTCCCTCTTTCTTCTCCCCCCCACCTTTCCTTTCCTTTCCTTTCCTTTCCTAAATGTGGCTTTTTGTTTCTTCCTTTTCCTTCCTCTTCTGCTCCCTATCTATTCTCCCCTTTTCCTGGCTCTCTCTCACTTTCCCCCTCCCTCTTCGATGGGAGGTTCACTTCATTCCCTCTCCAGCATTTTTCAGCAGGAGCCCCCTGCCCTCCATATGATTTGATGGGTAGTGAAAATACCTTCCTGGCACCTCAGCCTCCATTTGTACATGTGATGCTTGTGGGGCCCATTTTGGAGATCTTTGATCTAGCAGCTACATCTTGCTCCCCTCCATTTTTTAAAAGAAAGCCTGCCTGATCTGAATCTTAAAAGCACATTATCTCCAAAGCAGTCACCCTAAACTGACATTAGAATAGAAATGTGGGTGGGGGGAGATGCATCTGCCAGGCCCCAATATGGTCACACATGTATTGTCAAGGAGGATGCACATCATTTAAAAAAGGGGATGCCAATTTGCATAAGATGCATATGTATAGATGCAAATACAAAACGCCTGCTGCATACATAAAATTTAGATAAAATTACAACAGTTCTCCAAAGCGTGGAAGGCTGACCAGGTGACCTCAGACTTGCTCAGTCCTCTGTCCAGGTGCTTCAAGGCCCAGGTCTCCATTCTGATGGTCCATCATGTTTATACTGGTTTTGGACTGAACAGAGGTGGCCTTCATCTAGCTACCAGTCCTCTGACAACCTCTGAAATAGAGGACTGCCTTTAAAAGCCACTCCACAAGAGCTTTGCAGGAATGCCTGTCCGAGCCCTGAAGTAATGCAGCAGACACCAAGCAAAGTAAATGCTGTCCTGTTATTTTTGAGGGAGGAGAGTAGATTGCTTTCAGGTGCCAAAATAACCCTGCTCCTGCATCAAGGGGATGGGAGCACCAGGACCTTTTGAGCAGCCATTGATACTACAGGGGGATAGCTTTCCTATTGCCTCCCCTTCCTAAATCCTGAGGATTTCATGCTAAATGGCCTGAAATGTGGGCTTTTACTGTTCTCCAAGGCCAGCTGGAGACAGGGCCTGGCCGTGGCATCCACCTTGTGTTTCCCACCCTTTCCCCCAAAACATGAAGACACTGGCATGCCTGGAATGCCTTTGGGTAGGAGTTCCGTGGGAGAGATGCTCCCTGACCGAAAAACAAAAGCCGGGTGTCCATCCCTCTGCAGCAGCCTAAACAAAGGCCCGTGGCAAAGGCCTGGAACGGTATCCTGGGCTCCGCCTCACTTCCTGCTCCAAGCAGCATTCCTGCCATGAAGTCACCACAGAAACAGCAGGCCCGGCTTGTTCTGGAATGCAGCATGCACGCTTCTCTGCTCAGGGGCTGCAAGGGAAGGGAGAGGAAGGACAGGACTCCGGGCCGTTTGCTGGAATATTCACCCGGAGAAGCAGTGCCAGGCCTTCCTTGCTTGCACAAGCAGGCTTGTGCTTGGCTTACCTCTGTAAGTTGTTTACTTACTATCTTTATGCACCACCTTTTCTCCCTTCCAAGGAACCCACGGCAGGTTCCTGCTCTCGTGTTATCCTCACAACAACAGCCCTGTGAGGTAGGTTGGGCCCAGAGTCTGCAGCTGGCCCCAAGTCACCCAGTTGGCTCTGTGGCCAAGCAGGGTCTATCTAGAACCCAGAGCGCTTGAGTCCCCATCTCGCTCTCTTAACCACTACAACACACTGGTTTTATAGCAGTTTTATACCAATGGCTTAATCTCAAAACAATCCTTAGAGTTGTATTTAGTGCGTCTTAACAGTTCTCTAAGAGACTTGGACAGTTCCTGGGGTTATCTTGTAGAGAAGACAGTTACTATCTTTCTAGGTCTGTAGTATGGCATTTGTTGCCAAACGGGAGTGAAAGAGTGGAGCAGTTTTGAGTATGGGCAGAGTGGGCCTTGCCAAAGGAACCAGGGTCAACCTCCTTCCATCTGGAGTCAGGGCCCCTTTTCTATGCTGAGGGAAGTGCTTCCAAGTACACATAAATTTTGAGGTCTATATCAGTTCTCTTAAACTCTTGTTTGACTAATGGATCCAGTATAAAATTGTGTAGTGTCTTCTATACAATGCCCATTAGCAGTAAAGTGCCCATGGACATTTCTCTTAGTACCTGCCAGTCTCCCCAATTCTCCAGATGTTTATTAATATTTTTATTTTTAACTGGCACACTGCAAAGTGTCTCAGCACCATCTTTATTTGGGTTCCCATTCTGGAGCGCCGAACCCCTCTGCTTCTTGGCCTTGTACTTGGGTTCTTGGGCAGGTTACTTTTATCTTGGTCCCACCACTTTGCCTTCTGGGAAAGGAATGCTTTGTAACCCACCTTGCCCACCATGGCAGCCATTTTATGAGAGCGTCCATAGCATTCTTCTAAACTCCCCAAGGGACCCACTGTCTCATATGAGGGACTGCTGGTGTAATGAGTCTCTTGCTCAAAATTCTGTGCCACTGACAGAAGAGGATGGAGGGAAGAGATTTGGGGAATGGCACACAATAAGCTGGGATCTAGCTTCTCGGCTACTTGTGGGTTGAGTCCTGGAGTAACTCCAACACCCAAACACTTTTCAACTGCTACGAAATAGGCATAGGTTGGTGCAGCTCCATATGGTTTGTTCAAGCCCATGGTTTTGAATCCATTTTGCCACTGAGGCACATGGGTCACAGTACAATCTATTATCTCTCACAGGTGTTCTCCTTCTATGCTTTCCCCACCCAAAAATACACGTGCACAAACACCTGCACCTGATATAGGCAGGAGCCAAAGTCTTGTTCTAGCCTTCTTTCTAACTATGGACCCACAGGCATGCCATGCATTCATAACTCTTCACAATCAGATTCATGTTATTTCATATAACATTTTATATAGCCACTGAAGAAGACCTCAGGGTCCAGGTAGGTAAATTAGGGAAGGTGCATTTCATCCAGATACTGGTGGCCCAAACTGTGAAGAGCTTGATAGGACCCAAATTTAGGCTTGCTGAATTCACCAAGCACTGAGGATAAAGCAGCTTGCCTTCACATGGACTTAGATACCAAGTTGCAGTGGAGGGACCAATAAACCGTTGATGCTGGTTTTGTGGGATACATGCCAGTTGCTCCAGGTTGAGGATGTGGAGAAGGTACTTGTACGGCTGACCATTGGCTGTTCCTTCTTATAACGGCTAATTATGCCTGGGTTCGGTGAGTCCAGAATATAATGAACACATTACAGAACAGCTTCCCAGAGCTTGTAGCTGAGTTTACAAAATTTATAATCCCTGAATAATCTATTATGATTATGCTTTCGTTTATATACTACCCAACAGCTGAAGCTCTCTACCTGTGAAATGGCCCTGGCAAGAGACAGTTATAAGGCTAGAATTCACACACAGTCTTGGCAGTGTAGCATAAATCAGAGTCTTAACAATACAAAGTGTAAGGCAGACAGGAGTTCCAAATTCACAGTAAGTCCAGGCAAAGCATATTCTGATAACCCTGAGCACTGGTTTAAAAACAGGAGAGAGACTGTTAGAATTCCCCTACAGTTGATCACTTCTGACAGGAGAGTTTGACCTGTAAGTGATCACTACATCAGAGAGAATGTCTGTTCCACCCTTTTCAATTGGCATCAGAACCCGGGAGACCCCCTTCCACTGCAAAGCCATTCTGCACGCTTCTCCCAGGCTGAGGCTGTAAATCATAGGCCTGCTTCAGATGTGGCAGATAGAAAGTGGCATCCCCTTTGGCCTGGAATGAGATGGGAAATGTCTTGGGCTGTCTTGATGCAGTGATGTGCAGGGAGACCAGAAATAGACTGAATCATAGCAAGGCAGATTCCATGCCTGGATGGTTACAGGGTGTAGGAATCACACAGATGTCCTGTTCTGGGCAGGGTTGTGCTCCTTCTGAACCCTAAGCCTAAGCCTGGAGTGCTCACAGAACCATCAAGGTCGCTGGAGGAAGGCCCAGGTGACTAGCAATTTTACCAGCTTTGACCACTG